CTTTTTTTTTGTTTTGTTATTGTTTTTAAGATTAAAAAGAAGTGATTTAGCAGCTGGAAAGAAAAAAAGACAGCATCACGTGAACAGCTAGTGCTGCACAGACCACCAGCAATTGCTCCACAGGTTACTCGCGGTCCACGGACCACAGTTCACAAACTCCATTTCAGGGCTGCACAAACTCGATGACGGTAGACGCTTCTTCACATTGAGAGCCAGCAGGTCATCTTTGGTTGTTGATGAGAGACAGCCAGGAGACTTAACGCGCTCAGCAGCTCCGTTAGCACCTGGTGAGCAGGCACCGCGTGGGGTGACAGGGCCGGGAGGAGCACCGCGCCGCTGGCTGCGCTCTTTTCACCTCGTGGCTCTCATAGGTCGCGTTCCTTTTCACCCTTCTGCATTTTTGGGTTTCTAACGAGCATCAGGGCAGCCAGCAGGTGTGCTGGAAGCTGGGCAGCAACAGATGTACAAGCCGCGCAGCAGGGCTGTTGGGGTTCTCCGCTCCAACAGCTGCAGCCTCCACAGTCGCCGTGTCGCAGGTCCCAGCACAACACCTCTGCTCTGAGCAGACGAGGCGTCGCGCTCACACGGCTGCCAACGGGCACAGCCCTGCCTGCAGCCCCACAGCACCGTGCTGCAAGCAGCCGCCTGCTCTTGGCCATTAAGTTCTCTCTGCAGAAGAAGTCTCCCAAGCAGCAACCCCCCACCTTTCTGTTGTTGCTGTAAAAACAATTGCTCTCACCCCTCTTTTTGGTCGACACACATACGTACGCACACTATATGTACACAATTTGGAACTGAGGATCTACACAATGAAAAGGAAGCCAGCACCGCTGAGGTGGTGCACACATTCAGCAGCTGTCAAAGGAGAAGTCGTTTTACTTTCTTTTAAACTTGCAATGTTTGTCTTTATTTTGTTCTTTATATTTTGAAAGTGAAAAGAAATAGTATCCGAGTCAATTTCTTTTTTTTCTTTTTTTTCTTTTTTTTTTTTAAATATTTGTTCTATGTATTTACAAGCCTTAAAGTTGCTCTAAAGGTTCTGAAAGTATCACTAGTACGTTTTTTCCCCAGGGTAGCACTGTTTTGAATGAGTTATTTTCGGAGCACTCTGGTCCGCAGCCGTTTTCTCAAATTCACTTCCTTCTGATCCGAGGCTGTGCACTACGTTCTGTTACATTTCTGAAGCAAGCTGAGAGGCAGGCAGAAAAATCTGATGACAATTAAAAAAAAAAGATCTCTTCCTCATCTAGCTTACCCCAACCCCCTTGAAAAGTTTTGTCTATTTATCATGCTTTGAAACAAAACTGAGGTGCATACGAAGGGGAGGGAAATTTATTTCTCTGCTTTTGTTCTATTATACAATTTGTTTACAGAAACTGCAAATTTAAAAATTACACTGGCATTTGCAGTCCTTAAAATAATAAATTAAAAGTTTTAAACTTTTTTTTTTTTTTGCTAAACAGGTTTGTTTTGCTTTGTGTATTTGAGTCCTCGTTTAAAAAGAAAAGAAAAAAAAGATTAAAACAGAAAATATTTTCTATAAATAATACATGGATTTTGGTTTAGTGCTCCTGCCAGGTTTGAAGTTTACTGTTTTTTTCAAGTACCTTTTTCCTCCATGATCACCTTTGTGTTTATCTATGTTACCTCTCCCACTCGTGCGTGTGTGGGGGCAGGGGGTCTGCGCGAGAATTGGCCTTGCTGCACTGTGATTGGCGAAGACGTGAAACTCTTTAAAAAAATACTTAAATTGTTTTTTTGTGTGTGTTTTTGTTTTTGTTTTTTTTCCTGTATTTTAAGTTTTAATTATCCTCTGACTCCTCTTCAGCCTCCCGTAGCCATGTGAAGAATGCTGTGACAGATTTCAGCGCTACTCCTTTCCCGTTCTGCTCTGCTGGGTCCTTGCTGCTTTCCCACTTGTAGAAGGCATCCTCTGAAATCACCTCCTCATCATACAGGCAATCGAAAAACATCCGTAACAAATCTGCAATAATGGAACCAGGGCAGAGAACATCTGTTAGTGCTGCGCGCCGCAGCCAGCAGACAAAGCCGCGGTTACGGATAAGGGGATTAATGGGACCTTTACAGCAGGAGACACAAGCAAAAGGAAGACCTGCCCCTGGGTTACTGCTTCCTGCCTGCTCAGACACAGCTGAAGTGAAGGCAGCTCCCTCCAGATAAGGGTTAACCTTCTACTGTTCTTCTGTCATCTTTGCATCACAGAGATTTGTTTTTAATTCCGTACAGCTGATTACAGGAGCAAGCAAGAGAAGAACCCACCTCTGGCCAAGCATTTGGGGAGCTGCACTTCTCTAGAAGCTGGAATCTGGACAAGCAGAAAGACTGTACACTGTGTTATCTCATCTGCCACGTACAGAGGTAAAATTTTGTTTCTGTTGTCAGGAAAAGCACTTCTTTCCAGACTCTACTGCCAGACTGCAGCAGAAGCAACTCTTTGTTAGGCTGTCAAGGGTTTAAATCCCCAGTACACAGACAACACTTACTGGGAGGCTGATCAAGTTTTACTATTGATGCTTGTAGTGCATAAAGTGCTTGTAGTTCCTTCTCTGTGTCTGAGTCCAGGTACTTGAGTAAGATCGGCACTCTCTGCTTGATAACAGCAGTGTCCACACGGAAGCTAGAAGAGTCGGCTGAAGGGAAGAGAAGAAAATAGGGTCAGCTGTGGTAGACGGCAGCAGGAGTAAATCTTTTATCATCTTTATTCGAACAGAAATGACTGGTACTGGTTAGCATGAAGACAGACAAAAAGATAAGAAAAAATAAGAAGTATTTCTGATCACTGGCTTTTTCTGGAAGTCTTGATTTTTACAGTTCCCCAAAGGCAGCTGCTATCTGTAGTGATCCTAACCAGCTTGCTTCGTCTGAACTGTGCAGCACAACTCACCCAGCTGGATGTTCAAACAATGTACAATGGCTAGTGCCAACATTTCAGCTCTATAGAAGGTTTTTAGTCCGTGTTTTTTTTCCCCTAAAAATACTAAAGCATAAACAGAATCATCAGGAACACGCAAAAATACACGTTAGAAGTCCGTCAGCAACACAGATACATTAGCAGCTTTATAAGTAGATCAGACAACACAATTCAGTGATTTTTTGGAAACAAAAGAAAAAATCCTCTATTAGAAGCAAGGCCAAAAAGCAGAACAGAAGACATTTCTGATACACTCCCAGCAAAGAATCCTAACTCTCCAACACCCGTCATAAAATCTTGCATCATTTCCCCGCTAACACTAGGTGGCATCAGAAAGGTTCTTCTCTCGTAGAAGAAAGGCACTGGGCTGTGCCTTTCTACTCAGCCTTGCAGCCAGGAGGTGAAGCGCAGCCCATTCTCTCTGCTGAGCCTTGATTCTTACAGCTAGGAGCAGAAGCGGGTGCTTTACAGGCACAGTTTTTTGCCTTACCAGACACCAAGAGTAAAATTAAAGAAAACAACGTGAACTGACCAGTCTGCAGAGCACCCCTGCGAGGCTGAGGCTCATGTGCCTGACTTAGGAATCCGCCTCCTCCATTTCAAACCATACACTGCAACTGCTGTACCTTCAAACCCACACAAATGGGTTTCTGAAAACACAACACGCTTTGGACACAAAACTATTAACAAGACAGTGATACAAGCCGGCTTCTGCTCTGAAACCCACGTTTCCAACTCACACATGGCAATCTCAGGGAGACCTCACCGCTCTCTGTAACTACCTGAAGGGAGGTTATGGTGAGCTGGGGGTTGGCCTCTTTGCTCATGTAACAGTGATAGGACGAGAGGGAATGGCTTCAAGCTGCACCAGGGGAGATTTAGGCTGCAGGTTACGAAGTACTAATTTTCTGAAAGAGTGGTCAGGCACTGGAATGGGCTGCACAGGGAGCTGGTGGAGTCACCGACCCTGGAGGTGTTCAAGGAACGTTTGCATGTTGTGTTGAGGGACGTGGTTTAGTGAGAACTACTGGTGATGGGTGGATGGTTGGACTGGATGATCCTGTAGGTCTTTTCCAACCTTGGTGTTTCTGTGATCCTGTGATCTGCAATGGTTGAGTGCCCATGCAAGCTTGCTGACAAAGGAGTGGAAATGCTAATTACCTTAGTAATGTCTAGAGCATTTCCACCTTCCCTAGAAAAATCAATGAACAACCTGGCATTACTCAGAGTCACCTGCAATGTCTGCTCACGCACAGTCGCCAGGCCGTGTCAGGGCCTGAGCACACCGTGAGCAGGGAAGCACCTAGCCACTGCAGAGGAATGGACGTCCTGCCCTTGAACACCAGAACTCAATAGGGTTCAAAAATTTTCCACGATAAAAAGCAGTTTCAGAGGGGAGAAAAAAGTGATGTAAACTTGAAAAATTAGTATGTACTAACTCCTGCAAGGCCAGTTGGTGTGGTGTTTACATTGCAAGTTACTCACCTATAATAGCTGCTTTACAAACTGCTGTCATTAAAGCTCTAAGGAATGTAGGTGAACTCATCTGGCTTTCATCTAGATTAGCCTGAAATCAAGAGTAAATGGACCAGTTAAAAACATGCCAGTGCTTAAGAGGAATTGTTTCCAAATTCCACTGCTGAATTTGGCAGGAAGCTGAAGTTTAACAAAAGCTGCTGCAGTAAGAATCCAGTGCAAAGAATCATGTGCAAAAACTCAACTTTCCCATTCAATTGCAAACAGCTCAGGTACACCAACATGCAACAAGAGCTCTCCTGTGATCAATGCACCAATTCTTCTCACAACTCATCATATGTCTTAAAAAAAACAAAACCAATAGCTCTTGTTGTTTACAGTAGCCTTATACATCTGCTGTGTGCTTTTGAAACAAATTTTACAGAATGCTCCATGGAGGAGACTTGTTTGCTCTGCAGAAGAAGCTCACAGAATGGCTGTATAACTTGTCCAACACTACAAAGAGAGCTTGTGGGTGTCCTTAGATTTCATGCTTCTTTCGTTCTGCTCTCTAACAGCCGCAGAAAATACCACTTCTCACCAGCAATACCAGTCCTCCAGCAACAGAAATAACTGGAATGAAGCTGACCAAGGCTTAGCTGTAAGCAGAGAGCTAACTGAATTGAGCTGAGTATCGTTTCAGGCATAAGATTCAAAATAGGCCTTAGATAACGCAGCCAGAGTATACGGGGCAGTGCCTGAGATAGTCAGAAGGACACAGGTGAGAGCTGTAAATGCCTCTGACAGTTTCCCACCTTGGTGGAACAAACAGAGCAACAAGGAAGGGGCTCTGTGCCAGCCACTTGATCTTACAAGCTGTCTCCTGGCAGTTTTCCTTCCAGATACCTCAGGCCTAGCACTGTATAAATGTAAGAGGACCTGAGAGACTGTAGAGATACTCCTTTAGATGAGAAAATATTTACAAAAGCAGTTAATGAACTGTGTGCCCGGAGGGTGAAAACAGTCTTTGTACCTCTACCCAGTCAAAGATTTGTTCATCATTCGCCTTGTCCTCAACAATGAGTTTTTCTAGCTGCTTGTTCAGCTCTTCTGCGGAGAGTTCTTTCTCTGAAAGTGCTTCTGGGGAACTGGAACAGTCAGACTCCGTGAACTCCAACTTCTGCAACATCAGAAGTGATGATGAGGATGAGTTAAATAAACTTTTCTACATCAAGTTATGCCAAGTTGAGGCAGCAGGCTACACTTCAGTGTTTTCTGCATCTTTCAATGGCAAAGTTAACACTGCCATGATTTATACACCTTCTTCTGTTCCAAACCCTATAGAGCATTTTACAAAAGTGGGAATTTCATTAGCCAGCAAAAACAACCAGGCATCCCAGAACTACTCCAGCCCTGCACAACAGAAAGTCTGTGCTGCTCAACTAAAACCACAGGGAGCTGGAATGCAATTATCAGAGCCAGCATTTGCCCAAAAAAGCTGCAGCCAATGCCTCCATTCTTGCAAAACATGACAGAGGATCTGCAGTGCCCCCATCCATCGCCAGGCTTTGGTGATCCATTTCATTTCCTGCAGCACAGCACTTCTTAAGTGTGAAAGCAGGGCAGTGGGTCACCTGGGGCTCCCGAGGAAGACCTCCAGGTACTTCAATAGGAGCACAACCACCAGCTGCAAGGTGCCCTCTGTCAGCCTTGGTTCCTCTTTGTTGTGAAACTCTCTGGGATCATGATGCAAGGTGGGACCAGTGAATACATGCTACCATTTGTTCTGAGCCTTCTGCACAGTTTATCCTGCTTGCTTCAAAACTCATTCTGAGTTCATTCCCCTCTTCAGGAGAAATACATCTGCTGGCTAAGCCAGCTGGTGGGACATGCTTGCCTGGGATCACAGAGAAGCCAGACCTGCTGGCATTTCAGAAAGAGGCACTGAAATCATATAACCTCATTTCAGAGCTGGAGACACTTCATCCCACAGCAACTACACCTAAGAACAGGATTGGAAGGGGATTAACAAATGCAATACACAAATCAGCACGACAAAGCCATTAGGCAGTGGCTTGCTGTTCACTCACTTGTTCCATGAGAAAGGTATGTACATCCTCCCCTTCAGGTAAGTAGTCCTTCCAGCTGAGGCCAGTCTCCCTCCATAAGGCTCCCACTTTCTTATGGCTCTAAAATACAAACAGTTTGCCCTTTTGAAAGACTTGAGAGACAACCATGAGAGCTTACACAAGCTGGAGTGGTGCAGCTGTGTCAGGGGAAATAAAGAACCATTCAGCTACAAACAAGATGCCTAGCAATAATGTGAAAATGTCTGGAAGTCCCGTGCAAGAGAAATCATATACACAACCCTGCCATACGTATAGGTAACTTGTAAAGAGGTCAGATGCCATGGTGATGGGTAATAAACAAGGCACAACGTGACACGTGGGGTTTGCAACAGCTTCAGCCAGAGGTTACCTATGAGAAAGGACATGCCTGAGTAAGGCACAGCTTCCCATGACCACGACGGAGCTGGCAGACAGAAGCATGATTCTTCTGTCAGCAACTTCCTCTGTAACACACTGCCTCCCTGCCCTGGCAAATTAGCTACTTCTAGAACATTAGTATTTACATGGCTGTTTTCTGCTCACGGGTCAAAGCTCCCGTTTGTACATAGCACCCAACTGTTCCATTTTGAGAATTTGTTGCCAGTGTTGAGGAAAATCTCTTTTGTAGCACACACCGTGCAGCATCTGCTGTGCTGACCCTTTGGTAGCCTGCCCAGCATGGCATGGGCATCATCCTGACAGGAACACAATCAGCTCTTTTCACTGCAAGGCTTTCCAAAATCACTGACCCCATAGCACCTGCACGCGGGACATTACTGCACAGCCCAAGTGCATAAAAGCAGCTTGATTTTCCATTTACGAAGCAGATTACAATCTTAAATTTACAATACAGACTATTAAATGCTAATTGTGTGCAGTTCCTGCTACCACTCATCAGGATCTGACTATTCAACAAGACTGCTACTGCATGGAAACGCCTGACTTGAAATAACCACATCCACACACTGGCCTGGACAAGAGAATTATAAAGCTGTGACAGAAATAGAAACCCAAGCTTGTCCTTCAGCCCCCAGAGCAGAGCAGCTCTCACAGAATGGAGGAGAAAAAACAAAATTCAGAAACAAACTAAACAAAAAACCCCATCACTGTCCAAATAAGCATAAGACAAAAAGACATCAATAAAACGTCACTGTTTGCACTGCTAGCCTGAAATGCTCTAGGAACAATCACCCCTGTTTAAATGCATGCTTAAAAACAACCAAAAAGGCAAGTGAAGGATTTTACAGAGTTTCAAATAGACACTATTCAAAGTGCATATTTAGCTGGATTAAAAAAAAAAAGACAAAAATGGAGACAGTTATAGGGAAGCCACCAAACTGTTTGGACACACAACTGTGAAATGTGTAAGAGAGCTGTAGAAGTCACAGGGTGAAAAGGTGTCACTACCCCTAGTGATGGTGAGTCTTAAGAGTTGGCAGGTTTAGTTTGGATAAGCACCCAGAAGTCTGAGAGGCATCTGGAGCTTATCCGAACTCTCAGAACCTCTGCAGTCTGCAAGAACAGCTCTCTCGCAAGATTTCCGGCACTTGCTGCTTCTGGTCAGCCCAGAAATACCTTGGGAATGTCCCTCTTGCAGTATTTCAGCACTCTAGCTTCTGGAAGAAGCCAGGTGCAAAGGTACCTGCAAAAGGGAAAAGTGATGAGAAAAGAAAAGTTAACTCAACTTTTTGGAACCTCACAAGGCTTGGTTTGAAACTGGGGATGAAGAAGCAAGTTTTCCTAGGTTATCTGGAGTGGCTGCCCATCCCTAAGTATCTCCAAGTGGGAAATGTGAGCAGTGGTTTCATGCACTGACATACTTGCTGCCTCCAGCTCATAGGAACGGTGCTCCTGGACACTTACCATTTGTTTGCATAGAAGGTGCAAGATTTCAGCAAGCAAGACCCCGGCTCTTCCCACAGGAAGTAAAGGTTTGCTAAATTCTCTAGAATAAGAGAAAAACAGGTATATTTGTTTATACTTATAATCTTTTTTTTTTTTTTTTTTTTCCCTGAAGACAGTTAAATGCTCATCTAACATTGCTCCAAGTCTGCAATGCAAGGCAAGGGACATGATCAAATGGAAGCAGGACAACAGCTGTAGCCTATGCCAGGGATACAGGATCTCATCTAGCTAGCACAGCTGATAAAACAGACTTTGTTGATGCAAGCGTGCTTGCCACAACAGGGCTAATTACAAATACTTTCTTCATTTCTGCTCGAGATTGTATCCATTCAACTTTTATGAGGTGCTGCATTTGGGTAGCAGGACCCTACAGGATAAGAGCTTTTGAGGAAAAAACAGTCATGATTGTCTCAATACTACTTACTTAAGAAGGGAACCATTCAACTGACTTCTAATTAATCTCCAAATACATAATGAAGTGTACAAAGCATAGGAACTCTGGTCCTGGGAGCAGTTTCCAGCCCTGCCAGCCAGGTTTGTGCCGGTGTTTCAGGCACTGCCCACGGCAGCTGTCACTGCACTGTGAGACACAAAGACACCGGCGTGGCACCTCGCTCTCTCCAAATCTAATTCTCAGAGCATCAGCGCGCTTCTGAATGGCACTGACTGTTCAGCACGGGGTAGCTGCTAGGTCAGCCAGAGTAAACAAGACCGAAATCCATTTACAGATAAAACTTTCACCCCTGAACCACGACTGAAGAGCAGCAAGCTCCCCACCCCAGCTTTTGGTGCAAATCCTCAGTCCCAAAGGATATGCAGCAACCAATAGGCGAAGGTGCACCTCTAACGTGGTCAGTCTTCTATCTGCCAGTAAGAACCGTGCTGTGGCACAGCAGGCAGACAGCTGAAGCTCAGCTGTCACTGAAAAAGAGCAGTACTGCTTACTGTATAAGTTCTCTCATAGAGATTCCTCCTTCTTTTAACATGGGGGTCAGCAGCTCAGCTAGGTACAGCCATATATGGGGTATATCTATGGCCATGTCATCTGCCATCTCCAAGGTATCTGAAAACCTTTAAAAGAAAAGAAAAACGTCGGGCATTAAATACAACTCAAACCGAGATTTTTCCTGCAAAGTAAACCTGCATTTAAAAAACCCTCTGTTAAAAGCAAACCACAAACATCACAAGGAACACATCTGACATCTTATGCTTGCAAATGCTTTGAATCTGTCAGGGGCCGATTTCTTCAGGCAGTAATGTGGAAAGAGCATTGCCTTGTGTAAAACCAGCAGCTAGGGATGCTGCATCCAGAAAAGCTCCATGGACAGCAGTTTTTATATCCCAATAACATGCAAAATTTCACAAACAGAAGTACTTTTTACAAGTTCAAATAAATTGAGCCTTCTTAAAAAACCCAGACATTTACAGAAGGATAAGGGGCTGGCTTCTTCCATCACAAGCTATTTGCTCAGACCTGCTGAAGAATGGACATCCAGAACAGAAAACGTAGCAGGCTATTACAAAACTGTTCCCCAGCTCTGGATACAATTTCCAGCATAGCTCAAAACTCTCTTTCCCGATAAAAGCTCGGTGGGTGGCTTCCAAGCCTGATACTCCTACCAGGATCAAGATGATCATTTTTCTGCTTCTCCTGCCTATTTTGATCATGGTTCACTTCTCTCTTAAAAGCTGTAAGATTCTGGAGTTCAACTTCTAAGCAGAGGCTGTCTCCTTTGCTCTGTTCCTCATGTCCTCTGCCACTATTCAGCTCTGGTTTGTTCAAGCACTTGGGCCAGCAGCTGGTTTCCTGTGGTATCTCTCCAGACCTATGCTATGACCACTACTCACCCCACAACCCCTAATTACACAGTAACTTGTGCAGCAATCAGTGTAGTGGTTTTCAGTGTTCTTCTCAGGTGCCCACTGGAAACCACAAAGGGCAGCTGCCTTTTCATCATCCTCAGGAGCTGCTGTGCTCTGTCAGTGCTGTTTCCAAACCACAACCCCACTATTTCAACACGATCCCAGGTTACTTGGCATCACAACTGCTTCTCTGCGCCTGAGGAAGTGCAGGAACGGCTCTTATCACAGTGCATTGCAGGGATGCATCACTGCAGACATCTCAGCCATCAGTGATGTGTGGACATGGACGCGGGCTCCCTGTGCACGTATTTTCTTATTGCTGCTCCATGTGGTTTGAACTGACGCTGCCTCAACTTCTCCTCTGAGCCACTCGATTTCATCATGACAAAATTCACTGCCAGACATGATTGCAGGGGGAACACTGCTTCTGCTGTCAGCACCATGATGTGATGTGATTCAAAGCAAAGCAGCAAGACAGGGCTAAATACATAGGAATGTAGCATCTGAGAGCGTTATTTCATCTACCTGTTCTCCAGCTGCTTGTCACGGTTTTCCATTTCAACCATCCTGCTCTAAATCTTACCAAGGACAAGCTGGCACCCGGGAAGCTCCGGGAACACCGATCCTTTCGCGACTAGATAACATTCAAATCCAGGCTGGGAACACCAGCTCCAGAGGCAGTTATCATCTGGGAGATAAAAGGAGCTGGTGGCCTGAAGCAGAGTTATCTGAGGAAAGTCTGTTCTGTCTGATACCATATCTGGGCAGGCACCAACGTCACATCAAGTTTTTATCTTCCTCCTCCCCTTTTGTGCACATTCGATGGCTCGCCAAAAGGCAAACAGTGACAAGCAGAAATCTGAACATGCGCATTTAAACGTACACCTATGTATTAGAAATAAATACTTAAATACAAAAATATTTACATTCATTAAAAGCATCTGAAATGACTAAAAATGCGCTAAAATATCTGTATTACTTGTAAGCACATGCAGGTGGAAATGCTGCTCCCAAAAGGACGTGTGGTGAGGGTAGGATGCCAACGCAAAGTGAGAAATCATTCTCTCCAACACAAACAGTGCTCAGCTGCACTGAACACGCAGGAAAGGCATTGGTTTCTATGTGCAGAATACAAACCCCTTGAAGAAATCCTGCTTGCTCAGCTTTCCTGACTGCACCAACTGATGTAATAACTGGCCCATGTGATCCCTGGTGATCTGACTCCTCTCCAGCGTTGACTCCACTCCCACTCGCACAAACACAGGCAGCAGGCTCTGGGCGCTCAGCTCCTCCACGCACTGCATCGCCTCCTGTTTTAACGACACGCAGGGTCATCTGCCTCAACTGCAAACATCAAAAGATGCCAACACGAAACAACAAGCGGCGCAGGAGGCCCGTGCTGCCAGAGCAGGGTGTGCTGTGCAACACGTGGCACGGGGTCTCAGGACATCGCTGCCTTTCAGTTCTGCTTTAGACATAAACACACAGCGAAGCCAAACCGGGCTGTGGAACTCTTCACAAATCACCACTGAAATGGCAGTCAGGAATCAAAAAAGGATCAAAATTACACCGTGCGAGCAGCAGAATTTTTAATACACACTCATGCTCCAGGGCACTGCTTGGCAGCTATGCTTAGGGACAGAGGTCGTTCTGCATGTCACCAAAATCCCTACCGTTCCACAACATATCAAGCCAAGTCCAAAACAGGACATCAGGTTAGTTTCACTACTAACTGGGCTGGCTGAACAGAAATGCCTACGTTACAGCAACACACTGTACAAAAAAGCAGAAAACATGGGTAACGTTAAGAGGGAAATTTCCTCTGTATAAAGCTTTTACTTTCTAGTATGTGTATTTTGCAACCTATGCAAATAAAACACTCTTAAATATAGACTGCCATAGCTCTATTGCTTAGCCAAATGTTCCATTAGCACAAGAGCTGGCCTATTAATGTGAGACAAAGCTGCATTTGTCAGAAACTTTGTCACCACATTTGAAGGGTGCTGAGAATCCAAAGTTATCAAGTAACTGCAAACAAGCTACCTCAGTCTGATGTACTTCTGAACAGTGTGAACCCCAAACAAACCATCATAAAGATACTACCCTTTCTGATTTTAATTAGAAACACTACGAAATGCAAACAGCAGTTCTGTTTTAAGGCTGCCAAGCTAGGAATATCCCTTGCACTGTCATTTCAAACTTTGCATGTTTTTAAATTTTATTTCAGCAAAAGATCAAACCAATCAGCTCTGCAGCAAATGTTCCCCATTCCTACAAACTCCCTGGACAGGCTCAAAATCCATTTACACGAGAAACAAAATTGCAACCTTTAACCAGGAAGTGATGACAGCTGCTCAGTAATCTCCAATGTTTATTAAAAATACTCTGGAGTGGTTCGTTCAATATTTAGTATTGCTTTATCTGCCTCCAGATCAGAGCAGCAAATGCTTTGATAACTAAATGAAAACCTCAGTTCATTTTCCCACCAGCTCTTCTGCTTCCAAAACTGCCGTATAATGCATCTGCTCAGTGATTTGTGACAGATACACATACATCTTGCTGCTTACAACACACACACCGGCCCACCTTCCCTGCTTCTAGTATGGCAGAAAACACCCATGGAGCTGCTGCCACCCAAACCTCACAAGGTCCCACTGCTCCTGTGACCTCTGGGAGAACTGGGTACCACTGGTTCCACGGAGAAGCATCCTGAGGCCCCACAGCAGGAGACCTTTCTGCTAAGCAAGGATCTCACGTTGCTCACCTTAAAATCATTAATATGCAAGAACTCATCAACGATAGATTTGCATTTTCTCTCAATTTCCTCTTCTGATAACGAAGGCTTCTCTTGAACTGGGGCTGGGGGAGCTTCTGGCTTGGCTGGTGAAAGCAGAGAAACAGCATTTGGGAAAGGAAAATCAGAACCGTTTCCAAAGATGACAGTTTGAAAACAGAAGTCACAGAGCCAACTCTGCTGGCTGGCCAGCCACAATCACAGCAATCTTCACTGTGATGACCGAAACAAAGATGGTTTGCAAGCAGGAATGTGAGGGCTGTGCAGGGCGAGCTTCCTGGCTCCCCATCAGGCACGCGTCACCTCCTCCTTGGTTACATTCTCCCCTCTACCTTTCTGCAAGGAAACTATGTAGTGATGTGGGACGCAGCACCTCAAAGCACTCTCTACCTGCATTAAATAATTAAACTTTGAGCTGTTACAGCAGTTCTGAGGGTATGCTGTACCTTCAAAACATACTGTGAGTAACACCCACAAACCGTCAGACCTTCCAGAGCGGGGTGTGTGTGCGTGCTGTGGGGGCAAAGATGTACTCCTCACAATTGCTACTGCAATAGCAGTTTCTGGATGCTTTGCATGCAAGAAGCAAAACCCAGTACTTACTTTTGCATAACTTATTGCAAAAGCTATGTCCACAGGGAATGCTATCTTAAATGTCCTCAATACATCCTCGCTAGCAAATCAAGATCCAAAAGTGGGAGCTGCAGCTCTGACACAGCGACAGGTCGACCCAGTGGTGCTAACACCACACTGCACTGGGCCCTGCGTGGAACCAGGGCTGGCAATGAGCAGAGCTAAAAGCTCCACCTGGGGATTCTGCCTTGGGAACAACCAGTTCCCTCCTCTGCTCCGGCCTGGAGAGAAGCCCACACCCAAGGGAATGCCTGTGGGCTGGACCTGTGCTTGGCTACATCCTCCGGTTGTGCCAATTCTGTAACCGGCTGGGGATGAACAACCAACCAACGCAAAGGCAAAAAAAAGAGGTCCCTCCAAGCACACAACGCGCCATACGCTGATTCTGCTCGAGCTTTGCCAATGCGCCTAATCACAGGAGACAAGATACACTGAGATGCTCCTTGATGCTGATTTTGGGGACCTGTCTCCCAGGAACAGGTGGCAACAGCAACAGGGCACCAGCAGGAAGGACAACACTACGTGCTCGCGCTTTGTTGCTCCCTGCAGCCTTCCGCTCCGAGGAAACACAAAGAGGAGCTGGTGGCAGAAGACGACACTAAAACCTGTAGATATCAGTTGTGTTACAAACCTCTGGGAGGTTCTCAGCTATCACAGCTCGACAGCACGTCTTTGTGGGCCAAATATTCACACCACAGCACAGACCCCTGTCGCTTCTACCTATGAATTCTCCGGTGAGCCTTTCCATGCATCCTGCAAGGTCCCCTGAGTACGGAAGAGCTGCTTACCAGACTCCTTGGCTTTGCTCCTCTCTGCCTCTGCGCTGTTCCTGTCCATCTCCATGCCGCCTGTCAGCTGCTTCACCGTCTCCAGCATCTCTCTCCTCTGCTCCTCCTGTGCCTGATTGTCGAGCAGCAGCTCCTTACTGCTGCTGCCCCGGAGGAAGGTGTTGGGGCGGGACAGGGAAGGTGGGAGAGGTTTATCGTTCTTCTCCCTGCCTGTGCTCCCGCGACTGCAGAACAAAACCACATGCACTTGAAAGCACAGTAAGAGTAACCCCAGCTCGCAGTCCTGGTAATGACAGATCCTCAGCCCAGAAGGACTGCTGTCTCAACTTCTCACAGCTGTAGCTCCACTGATTATAATCACAAGTCTCAGAGACACACAAACACAACCAGCACATGGAGCGGGCAGGCAGAGCCAGAGAACACGCAGAAAAGCGTGAATGTAATGACTGAAGTCATTACAGCACCCATTTTAAATGTGCACTGGTGAAGTCTGTGATGTAAAGGCACTGTTTCACTGTAAGGCAGTGGTGCATTTCTACCCATTTATTGAAAAAGAACCTCAAACAGAGCCAAAATGGAACAGCCTCCAGGTGATGAGAGCTGCATGTGACGGAGGAGGGAATGCGAGCAAGGAATCAATCTAACAGCATGCTAGCTGGTGTGTACTGCAAGGAAGAACTAATGACTCCAAATGAACCACACATTTACAAAGTGTGTCCCAAGGAAGCAAATTACTAAGGATTAATTCATATTCCATGCTACAGGCTGGAGTGGCTGCAGTCCTGGTGTGATCAGGTGTGTGAGAACTGCATGGCCTCGTGGATGCATGAGGCAGAGGCCTGGTCACATGGGAAGGGGCCAGGGACAGCCAGAGAGCTCTAAGAGCCTTGCCACATTTGGGCAGGGCTTTAAGCACGTTTGTTGGATCAACAAATCCAGTGACCTGGCTGAACACACGAGCACTGCGTTCAACTCCTGTTTTTATCTGAACATCCCTGAATGCGTTGCGAAGCGCTCACACAGTGTCCTTTAGAAAGGGTGACTGCAAAATGGAAGCTGAAACATTCATAATGTCTTTAAAATTGAATACCACTTGCCTCTCATATAGTACTATGAAAGATGCATTTTAAGTCAGCTCAAAGTACACATGGGGAAAAATGACCCCGCTGTTCCTGGAAGCTCCATGAAATTCTCATTGTTTTCATTCTTCCAGAAACTAGAGCAGCAAGTGAAAGAGCAAGCATACAGAGAGCAGAAGGGAAAACTCACTGGCAGGGCAAACCTTACCTCGTTAAGGCCCTGCGAGAATCTAGTTCTGAGGATGCAGATGAGGCAGATACAGATGAGACTGGAGGCTGAAGTGCAGAAAATCTGTTCAAACTAGTGGCACTTGGTCGTAGGGAGTCTGGGAGACCACAAAGACAACACAGAGAAGAGGAACGGCAAGGTCAGTAGCTGCCAACACCTCACATCACACAGGCATTTAAGCAGTTGCTGTTTACAGAGCAATGGGGAGGGAATCAGTGGGAAAAGGCTGCTCCTGCTCCACTCGTCCTTTGCCTTTGGAGGCAAAGCAGAGGGACACAGCTGCTTACTGCTCATAGTGCTGGTGGAGCCTTCTCCATCTGATTGTTTAGAAAACACCCCAAATCAACACTCCCACCCTAAAGAAACAAATAAATAAAGCCATAGGAGAGACTCCTCTCTCAGGGTGAGAAGCAAGGAGGTTGTGCTGTCTGCCACAAGCAGCACTGTGCACTCAGAGGGGCACAGGTGCTAACCCACTATGTCACCAGTTTCTCCCCAGCTCTGCAGCTGCACGAGAGGAGAGGCTGTAAAAAACTCCTGTTGTGACAGGATCAGCACGACGCCCTGAGCTGTGTCAGCTCAGAGCCCCTGTGAACACCTCCCTTGTATCATTCAGCATCAGACCCGACTGCAGCACCTCCTGCAGTTTTCCTCTTCAGAGCTCAATAGTCATCTTGAGGGAGGTCACACAGCACGTGTGGGACAGCTGGGGGACTGAGCTGCACAATGTGGGTTTGTGAGAGGCAGGTCCTGCCTGAGCAACCTCCTGCGGTGCAGTGACCCACCTGGTAGATGAGAGAAAGGCTGCTGATGAAGTCTACCTAGAGTTCAGCAAAGCTCCCGACTGCCTCCCACAGCACTGTGCTGGGGAAGCTGCAGCCCACGGCTGGGACAGGTGCACTCCTTGCTGGTAAAGAACTGTCTGAGGGCACAGGGAGTGGTGGTGAATGGAGTCACATCCAGCTGGCAGCCGGTCACAGCCAGTACTGCAGCTGAGGGAATGGAGCGGTGAGGGATGCGGTGCACAGCCCTGTGGGGAGCGGGAGCTGGGATGGGTGAGTCTGGAGAAGAGGAGGCTCAGGGGAATCTCATCACTCTCTACAACTCCAGAAAGGAGCTTGTGGTGAGGTGGGGTTGGCGTCTGCTCTCACCTAGTTAGTGACAGGATGAGAGGCAATGGCCTCGAATTACACCAGGCGATGTTCAAGTTGGACGTCAGGAAAAAATCCTCTGTGAAGGAGTGGAGAGGTGCTGGGATGGGCTGCTGGGAGGCAGCTGAAGCACCATCCCTGGAAGCGTTTAAGAAATTCTCAAAAAATGTTTAGATGTCATAGTGAGGGACGGTTTAGTGGTAAAATATTGGTGGGAGGTGCGTGGTTGGACTGTATGATCTTGGAGGTCTTTTCCAATCTTGGTGATTCTATGATACTAAGATTCTATGACATCTGAATCCCACTTCAAACCATGGACGGTCCTCCTGAGGGGGTTCACGGTCATGTGCACTGCAATACACCACAGTGCAGGGAGTGCATTTGTCTGCTCCCACCAAATCTGCTCCTGGCAAGAATGACGACAGGACAAGGGAGAAAGTTTGCAAATAAAAGAGGGGGGATTTAGGTCAGATGTCAGGGGGAAATTCTCCACTCAGAGGGCGGTGAGGCCCTGGCACTGCTGCCCATAGCAGTACGCATGCCCCATCCCTGGAGGTGCACAAGGCCAAGTGGGATGGGGCCCTGGGCAGCCTGAGCTGGTGGGGGGCAGGCAGTCCGTGGCAGGGCTTGGAACTAGATGATCTTTAAGTTCCCCTTCAACCCAACCATTCTGTGAATCTGAAGGTGTTCTCTGACAGCTGATAGTAACACAGAGGGTGAGGATGTGTCCCTGCTTACCCATCTCGCTTGCCTTTGCTCCACCACTGCTGCCCTTTCCCCAGCTGCCCAACTGGGCTTTAGGCACAAGCTGAATCTTCTCATCTATTGTGGGCTGTAAAAAAAACACATCAGGACATATGGTTACAGGGGAACAATTTGCTTCTTTATTTATAAACGGAGTATTTACGTTGTGGTGAAAGTGTCCACCTTGTGAATACTAAAGCGCACTTAAATTTTGGAAGACTCATCTCTAGCCAAGAACAGAGGACGCAACCAACAAAGGTCACTACAAGCAGCCTCATCCAAAGTGTCAGTGAAAGACATTCATCATGACCACAAGCTTTATTTCATTAAAAATTACTTAATTCCTCAAGGAGGAAAAAGTACCATATATCAGTTCTGGGAAGACATTTGGTTTGTTACGACAAGTAAAACTGCTCTACAGTCCACTCCATGTACCAGCAATGGCCCTAGGGTGAATCTGCACAGTAATAGGATTCAAAGGGCAAGGGGCTGTAGAATTTGGAGGGAACAGCAGAGTTTGACAAGAAGAGAACATTGATTTTACAGTGCTCAGTAGGTGAATTTACTGATGAGAGGTTGTGATCCTGAAGATCTCTTTGTACCTTCCAACAATGCAGCAGCTGTGGACCTTGGTCTATTTGTACTGCACTTGCATTAAACAGAGCAGAAGGACTTTTCCCAGGTGAGCTGTAAGCCCAGACAAAAGCGGGCTGAATCTCTCTCGTGAATTAAGTTCTGAAGGTTGTTTTATGACTTCCACAAGAAACAAACTGAGCTTCATCTGCAGAACGACTGCAGTCTGTCAGGTTCTGCTTTGCTGTTCTCTGAATATCTGGACACTGAGAGCAAAACTCAGGCACAGAGCACAGGAACATCTGGGAAATGCCCACTTATGTCAGAATTCTGCTTGGTGAGACAGACAGATGCAACCAGGTAAGACTTGGCACCTTGTTGCTCTGAATGAGCCCCATGCTGTCACCCACCTTGGTGATTTTAAGGAACTTGGTAGGGTCCAGCACTCTGCTGTTCTTTGTCCCCTGCACAGTGTTCCATCCGCCTTCATCAACCCGCTGGACACCTGCAGACAACAAACACACCGCCTTCAGCTCGTCTCTGGCCCCATGGTGCCCCAGGGGACGGTGGGTGATCATCTCCCAGTTCAGGAGGAGGAGATAAAGAAGATGGCACGTTTCTGCTGAGCCTGACCGCAGTTCTGTGCAGAAATCACCTCCTTCAGAACGTCCCTCTGGATTAACATGACATCTAAATCTGCCTCGCTACTGTTAAAAAACAGTCTTAACATTTAAAAAAAACCACAACAAAACAGTATTTTTCAAGGCAGGTTCCTGTTTACAGAACAGTTTCTCAGTTTGCTCTCATTCTGCTTCAGTACAGCTGCACATACTGTGTGTTAACAAGCTCAACAAAGGAGAGAAGACATGCCGTGGCTAACCAAAGCCTGCACTCATTGCACAGATTTCAGCAGTGCCAGAGACAGTCAAAGTGCAGAACCATTCAAACAGTTCCCTACCTTCTACAGACAACAATTTCAGGCTAATGGAAACAAAGTCTGTGTGCATTTTCTTCATGCTCTGTTTTCACAGAGGTACCACAATGCCTCAGAAACCAAGCAGGTTTGCCTGCTCTGGTCCTGTGCCTCTAAAAGCATCAGTTACTTTACATTCATCTTCAGGTAGTGTCAACTCTGAGGGCTGGTAGCAATTGAAGGTGATGCTAGAACACTTTCTCACGCAGAGTTAACACCTCACAACTTTAACTGCGAAAGACAACACGGTTACTCTTGAAATCCGATGCTGTTCTCTTGAAATTAAATGCTGCTGAAAACAAAAATGGACGGCAAATCTGGCTCCTGGATAGGAAGCTGTTAGCACAGATTTCAGGTATGGCTTGCATGAACATGAAACCCAAGCACTACTAGCCTGCAATGTTTATCTTTCACCAAGGGAGTTGAGCAAAACATGGCCAATCCATGGTGCACCTGCTCCTCTTCCAGCCCCAGCCATGATACAGCCCCAAATCCCTTTGCTCTTTGCATTTTGGCAAAAAAAGACTCCTACAGGATTCTGACCATGGTCACTGGATCTGAAATGACTGGAGAGAAACCTGACTTTTATTTTACCTGGTCTCCTCTTCTCTTTGGTCATGAGTTGTTGGACCTTCCTCTGTTCTTCCTGCTCTTCTATCTTGGCTTCTTTATGAATCTGCTCAATGGTCTTCGGGCCTTGGTCTGCTCTCCGTGAAACCCAGTTGCACTGAGAGAGAAACAAAGGTGTTCGTGACATTTCTTGGAGCGGAGCATCATAAATGGGTTACTTTGAGCACACTGAAGGAGGCCTAAAGCTCCCTAAACCTTGTGCTGTGTCAGTGAGGCTGCGCTGCAAGGGATTGCAGTTGGGTCATGCTGCTAACACAGCTATCCCAGCACCAAGGTAGAACTGCACGCTTCAGCACATTGGCTGTAACGTATCTTTAGGGTTGAAGGCTGCAGTGAAGACTTGACTGTGAGGAGGCACGACTGAATTCCATACATTTTAACCCCTAGCACCTTGAACATTTCCAGTTTTCCAGTCTTTCTATGTGAAGAGAAAGAGATGGGCTAGAGGAAGGGTGCTGTGGTTCTGCTCTTACTATTGGCAGCATTCATTGGAGCCCCTCCTCCAAGGCTGAGGAAAAAATATGAACATCTGAAAATACAGAAGTGACACAGTCCTGGAACAGGCTGCCCATAGAGGTGGTGGAATCTCCTTCTCTGAAGATATTCAAGACTCACCTGGATGCCTTCCTGAGCAACCTGCTGTAGGAACCCTATGCTGAGAAGCCCTCTTCGCTGAGAGCCCCAGTCTAACACTTGGGCTCTGTTCAAAACTCTCACTTGAATGCAAGGGGGCAGATCCCCTGCTCACACCGCACCTCACCAAGTGGTCTCCAGTTTGCCATTTCTGCAGCTTAGTTAGCTGAACCAGAACAGCCAGCATTAGTAAAGCAGCACAGCTGTCTGCCAGCCCTGCCCTTTAGTGAGACAAAAAAAGAAGACAATCCTCATTGCCAAACTTCTGAATGACAAAGGGTCCAGATCTCACCCTGTCAACACTGCACTGCCTGACCTCCTGTGAGGGCAGTGCCAGGAAGGGAACATGCTCTGTTACTTGCTGGGTTGGTACCTACCAGCCTTAGGTCTATCACATCCTGCAGCATGAACCGAATCCTTGAAGACGTTTTCCTCTCTTTCACAATCTTCTCCATCTGATTAAAATACTGGTCCATGCGAGGCTACACAAGAGAAACATCATCAGTGTATTCTGGAAGAAAATAAAAACACTCCCTCTGTGGGGAGGCAGTGGGTTCTGGATTGCAGCACCTCTGTGCCAGCAGCACAGCTGGGACCTGGCCTTCTTGGGGTGCGCTTGGGCACAAAACTCCTGCACTGTTCTGCTGCTTCACCTCCCCAGCCTGTCCCAGTCTGGGTCAGAAGGCAAAAGAGGGAGCAGATGCACAACATGAAGCTGTTTCACAGGCGAAACTGTAGCTCCAAATCCAACATCATACCATACATTCCATCTTATGGCTTTTCCTTCAGAAAGTCATGAAGCAAAGAAGCCAAATCTTCACTAAAACAAAGTGGTGTCACTGCAAAACCTTCACTAGGTCTAGATTTGGCCTGGCAGTTTTATAAAATGTTTCTCCTTCCCCTCGTTAAGAACCTGCTAAGTCCTTTTCCTCACACCTACATAAACTAGAATGTGGTTCCAGCCTTGCTCTGGAAAGTTTCAGCCATATGAGCAAAGGTTTCCAAAGGCATGAATGATGGGAAAAATATTTGAAGTGGACTTTTCCCAGAAATTTTAGTAACAACTCACTGCCACTTCAGCTTCAACAGCAACACATAACACAGCATCTCCTCCATGAAATGAGGGATTCTCACTCAATCCTGTAGGAAGAACAACCACAAGGACAGGACACAGGGGCTACACACCGAGGCCGCCGTGACGCCATTTCCATGCTAACAAAGGCTGAAAGAGCGTCCAGGATTCATCCAGCATGACCTCAGCTTCTGCTCAGAAGTCAGACCCTGTTTTTTTCCCAAAGCACGTGGAGTTTTAAATCTCTCTTTTTGGCCCTTTCAAAGCTGCATCAACAGCGCACACACTATTTCATGATGCAGGGTATTCAGTCTGGGGAATGAGCAGCAAACTACACAACTTCAGGCCATGCCCCACACAGCAGTTTGGGAAACTGCTTCTCCAAGGAGTCCCTGTGAGGATCAGGACTGACTCGCTGCGATCCCTGCAATCCAGCACTGTAAGAGCACTCCTCCCTCTGCAGAGCAGCTGAAAGCAATTAGCTCTGTTCATTTCCAGGGCTGAGTCTGACTGATTTCTGGCAAAAGCCTTCAGTGCTTTTTCATCCCAAACTTTAGCAAAGGAGAAGCAGATGCCTGTGCCAATAAGAGCTCACGGAGTGCACGACGCTCCCAGTTACACATACATTTGCTGGAGAGTCAGCAGGAGGACACTGGAGCAGTATAGTTGCAAAACAGCCGCTTCATTTCAGCACAGCTGGAGATGAGGACACAGAATGAACGCACCCGCCAAGTTTCAGGTCTGGGGGTTTGGGCAGCTCGCAAGGGTTTTTTTTAAATGCAACCCAAAACAATACATTTAATGGTAGATTTCTATAAACCCTCCATGGAAATGAGACCAGTTTCATGTTTCAGAAACAACATAATGTTTTAGGAACCCACAGCACACACTGAGCACTTTAAGAATGTGAACTTGGATGAAATGCTTGGGAACAAGTTGCAACTGGAAATGAGCTTTGCAAACAGCACAGAATCTATGAGCCAGGGGCAGGAGGCAGCAGCAAGGCCAGGCGGTGATGAAACGTGCACAGAGGAGCAGATGATCTCCTCGTGCTGTACAAAAAAAGCCCAGAGGAAAAAAAGACCCTCGAACAAAAACACCCCACACCCATTTTTCCACCCCTGCCCATACAGCCTCATCTCTTGCTCCTGGCCCTGCCCTACCTTTGCTTTCTCAAAGTCCAAGTCCTTGCCAATGGTAGTCAGCAAGCGGCAAAGGCACTCGAGGGACTCCTCATCGTGGTTTTTTAGCAGCTTTACCACACAGTCATGCATGATCGCTTCCGTCAGCATTTTCAGTTTGAAAAGCTCGCCGATGAATTTTATATTCCCAATGGATCTCCGCCGCGCTTTGTCCTTGGCCTCTTCCAGCTCGTCGTGGAGCCGGGTCTTCTCCTCTGGCTGTAAAACACAAAAACAGCTCTAAAAAGCATGTTCAAAGACCACAGAACTCTTCAAAAGAGCCAGTTTTACAATCACAGTTGCTGTTGCTCCTGTTTACTCTTTTTCTCCTAACAGCCAAAAAGCAGCTGCTCTAAACACTCATCGAGGCAAATATTTATTACATTCAGCTACAGCAACAGTGAAACTACTCTGATATTTCCCCCAAATTGGCCGCAGCCTTCCAAAGAGATCCTTTTCTGAGGGCTCTCTTGAGTGTCTGTGGGGAAATACTCCACGTACAGTGGTAGCAGCTTCAAGCTCTTTCTGTTTCTTTTCAAAGACATCATCGTCAGCCTTGTCCTTTTCAAATTCCTTCTGGCAGCGATTTAACAGCAACTTGCGGAAATTCACTGTGCTCCCAGGTTTGTCTGCCATGGGTACTTTCAGCTGCAGGAAGAGGAAGCAAAAATCAGCAGAAATACAGGTAAAGTCCACACACAAATGAGATCTGCCACCAGCCACCCATCACATTTTATTATGGACTTCATATTCGGCAGAGCAACTTTGCACGGCTGTGACCATTAAGCACCACGCCATGATTTCCAGCAGTTTCAGATTCCATGTGGAAAGTCACACTCAAAATTTGGCTGACTCCACCTCTGCCTGGAGACAGATTACATTTCCATTCACTAAATCCTTCAAAAAGTCTTACTGCTTAAAAGCACTGCTATTGCACACCGCAGACCTTGGGGCCACGCTCCTTCACGACACGCCATGGAAATCATCACGGGGGGAGGACGAGCTGGTTTGTCCCACAGTCAGCATCTGAAAGCTAGCTTGGCTCTGCACCTCTCCAAATGAGAGGGAGAAAACAGACTTTCTAAACGTGATTCATAGCATCTCACAGCCAGGCACAGCAAAATGCTTGGTGTCCTCCACTCCAAGCAGTGTGTCACTCCAAGCAAAGCATGGCCAATGAACAAAGAGGAAGAAACCCGCAATGTAAATTCTTTAAGTTCAGAAATTAACATTCAATCTGCTCTTGCCATGCTTCTACTACTGCCCAGCAGTGCGTGGGGAAAAGGCGCAGAGCGCTCTCCCCAAGGAATGATTCCCACTGGCCTTGGGCAGCTCTTACCGTCACGAGGCACCTGCACATGTTTGCATACGCCACGGAGAAGCTCGGCTCATCAATAGCTTTCTCAAAGACCAGGTCGATGACTCCTTTTAGCCTCTCTTCAGTATCTACCGTCAGGTCTGTGACTTGCTTCATAAGCTGATTGAACATCTGGGGAGTCAGCTTGTTCAAGATGCTTCGTACCTTGCGGAACAGCTCCTATACAACAGACAAGCCTTGAGGAGCAGCACCAACCAAACAGGCACACGGTGGCTTTCAGGAATGAGCCAGGATGCGTTTTTGAGGAGAACAGAGAAGAGGTGCTGCAGGATTTTAGAATGTTGAGGTACGCCCCAACACTCCTCGCTGTGCGTTTCAGCTCCAGCCCTAAGCCAGCTATCGGCTGTCACAGCTCCTGGCTGCAGTGCAGGGGTTCTGGGAACATCTAAGCACTTTATTTTCAAGCACAACTGAGGCACAAACCCTGCTGTCACTCAACTTCGTTATCAATTCAGCTACAAAACATCAAGTAACAGGGAGCGGTTACCTCCGCCCTCATCCAGAAGCAATCAACTTTTTCTGTATTTGAGACACTAAGGAAAAAACTGTCCTGACAGTAATTAGGTCAACAAAGCTCCTGTTAACCCCGAGGACAGAATCCCAGTGTCCTCCACGATTATCTCCACTTATCCTAGGAATTAGAAGCTTTACCGCCAGGCAAATACCTCACCTACAGTGGCTGCCCCATGGAGGGAAGGAGGGAGAGAGGGACACAGAGAAAGCTTCAGAGAAAGTGTGGCTGAGCTGGGCAGCATGAGCTGGGGGATTACCACAGAGGAAGCTCAGTGTGGCTGATGCTTGGTACAGAAATGCAGTCTAAAAGGGGATGAAAAGCAAGTTCTGTGCTGGAAGTCTGAGCCTGTTTGCTTTAGAATGGAGTCAGAAACACGTGACAGCATTAGAAAAACAACCCTGGATGAGAGGTAGTAGGTTGTCTGGTATTCACAATTTAAGCTCTCCATGTACAGGTTTGCCATTTAAACTCTAAGAATAAAAACATGAAAAAAAAGATTAAGGCAGAGGAAAGCTGCAATTCAGAGTGGAATTCACTGCCCTTAAACAACAGCCAAGGCAAACTACCTCTTTCCTTGGTTACAGACAGCCATGCTCGGAGCAGTGCTGCCTACGTTCTCACCTGGGTTTTGACATTTTCAGGGTCCTCAGTTTGGTTCTCCCTCTTCAGGCTCGGCTTCCAGGCGTTCTCTGCCTTCTTCAGGTGAACATCCTCCTTCACACACACCGTGATAATCTTCCTGGGCTCCCTCCTCTGGCCCGGCTGAGATCTCCTCGGTCCAACATTCAACAACTAGGACAAAAACATTCCTTGTTGTATCCCCTTTTAAACACGTGCCTTGAGAGCACTCCAGGGTGCAGAGCAGCATGCTGAAGGCAGCAGGTCAGTCACCAGCACGGCCTGGGATGCTCAGGGCTCCCACCGCACCACGCAGCGCTGCAGCTGCTCGCAGGGAACAAGTGTGCACCCAGCACATCTCTCAGCAGCCCTTCCCAAAACAGATGGGACTGACTCTCTGCACCTCAGCTGCACCCAGATGCTACACAGGCGCTGTGGGACTGAGCCCGGCCCCGTGGAAAGCAGGAACCTTGTCAGTGAAGTATCACTGCAAACAGCTACTGAAGGATCAGGTGCATCCTTACCAGAGCGTTTCAAACATGTCATCCCAAGCAATTAGGCAGTGATTAATCAACAGCTCTGCCAAAACACTAAGTCTTAGTGGAGCTTGTTTCAGACAACAGAGCCATTTTGGGACAGGAATTACATGAAACGCAATGAACAGAGCATTGGTGCTGCTCCTGCACTGCGGAAACACGAATCCTAGCAGCTATGGATTGAGCTCTGCAGCTCACAGGAGAAAGAGACACGCGCCGCCCATCCCCGCATTGGTGTGAGAGCCGCCAGCACTGGGGAGGTTCCACCAGCTGTGCCCACAAACTGCCCACCCATCGCCTGGGAACTGGTAAGGACTGAACACATCACACGTGGCACTGAGGTTATTTTTTTCCCTGCGGTGCTTGCGTTTCCAAACTCATTTATTAGAAACCTCTTAACTCGATGTAAAAATTAGCGCAGTAAAATTCCATTATCAAAACCCGTTCTTTACAACAGAAGTAATTAATCTCTTCAGTGGCCAGCAGGAAGCTCCATGCAAACCATTAAAGCATGTCTTTGTTCAGCAAAGCCACAGAGCCAGTGCCGCAGAGGCCCAACCACCTCCGTTATTCTAACAGCTGCACTGAATGCACATGGGAAGTGACCTCAGAGGTTGCCTCACATGCCATAGAATGGCCCCGGACTCACTTTTGCACAACTGAAAATAAGAAACCCACCCTCTGCTAACTTCTATCTGTGATTTGACCCGCGCAGCTCGGCGAGGTGGATGTGAGCACATGGGGAGCTGTCGGAAGGCGACGGCCTGGTGCTGGGACACGCTCTGTAGGCGTGGATGGAAGACGGCTGCATGTGCCCAGGTCTCTGCACCACAAAGACATGGGGCTCTATGCTTCCTGGGTGCACACCATGATTGGAACAAAGCCATACAAGAAACCAAGCTCCCAAGACAACAGCAGTACAACGACGCAGCACGGCTCCCTTTGGAGTCAGGCAGAAAGCAGCCTCGGGTCGTTCCTGTAGCCCCTGCCATGCCCACCCACCCTCAGCAGAGGCACAGCTCTGTGCCTGCACCGCTTGGTGCCACCTGCAGCCACGGGCGCTGCCCAAACAAACGCCCACGAAGGGCGGCCACGGAGCAAGGAAGCTCCCTTCCCATCCAAAAACCAGACAAGAAAAGCAACAGACGAGCAGCCGCCGCCAGCTGGACGCACCAGACCTCATTACACACCTCTGTGGCCACAGAAGGCTCCGGCTGGCCGCATGCCCTGGGAGCACGAAGGCTTGGACCAATCTCTGCCCCAAAAGAGAGACAAGTGGTGACTGTCCCATGTCTCTCCCACTGAGGTGCCCCTGGCCCGAGGGACCACTGAGCCACAGGGTGCAGCTCCTGAGCACGCAGCTGCCCTGCAGGCACTGATCACATCTTTCAAACTGACGGTGCACCTTGCAGAACGTCAGTGTGGAGCAGGAGGACATGCAAGCTGCCCTCACAGCTCTCTCCAATCTGCCTGCCTCTGACACCAGACCTCTACAGGCATTAATAAAACAAAGGCTTTAAGATTTTATTTTTTTTTAATAAGTGAGACAAACTAGCTGAGTGTTGGATTAAGTTTTAAAAGTGAACAGAGGCCTCCTTTGAATGTGAGATGAAATATACAAATCACAAACTCTGAACAGGAAGAGCTGTCTATTTTTTGTTGCAAATTTACAAAGCAGCAAGTGGAAGAGGCACCGAGCTCATGGCTGGCCTCCTGTCACAGCCCAGTCCCCATAGATAATAACAGATCCGTAACACCTCTGATTGCAGCACTTGTGCTGCACTCACATTTTCTGCTAAAGGCACGGAGAAGCACTTAGCAGATCTGCCTATTAACCTACGTTACCCGTCCCTCCAGATGAACGGGGGCAAAAAGGAGAGCAGACAGAGGCACGGACACAAGCCCTGCTGAGCAGCCAAAGCCTCACACCTCCTACTCTCCATCCGTGGTCCTGGTGCAACAGCATCCAAGAAACCATGGAGCTGCTGCTCCCTTGGGCACAGGTGTGAGCCAGGAACAGCCGCCCTCCTGAGGGGCACAGAGCCCAGCAATGCAGCTTCCCAGCAGCAGCACCCTGGGGAGCCCAGACCACCAGTGGGGATGAGCACAGCCGAGGGACCGAGCGCTCCTCCCCCACGGCACGCGGCTCTACCTCTACCTTCTTCCCTACAGCAATAACAAGTGTTTGTTCCTGTGTGACGGCACTCCCGATCCCATCTGAACTGATTACGGTCTGAAAGCAGTCACACAAAACATTTAAAGGAAAAGAAGGGGAAAGACAAAGCCAGGGAAGCAAAATAAAAGATTTCCACGTGCCGTAAGCTTGTTAGCACGGAGCTGCTCGATGTTATTTCGAGGGCAAGGAGCAGGCGGTGGGCTGGGATGGCGTTATGAGCATGGCCTCTGCGGAGGCTGGATGGCTGAGCAGACAGCGTGCACGCGGGCTTTGCCATGCGCCACGAGGCAACGGCTGCCTCTGCGTGGGCCAAGAAGCGCTCATCCTGCACACCAACACCGCAGGACAGCCGCTCGTTAAGCAATGTCCCCTTCCGGCCCCCCTGGGGAAGATGCAAAGAGAGGCACTGCCCTTCGAGGCGCAGATGTAGGATGTATGTTATGTGCGGGATGCTCCAAATGAACGGGGCAAGCAGCACTTACCTTTTCTCCCCCTTTCCATAGGTCTGCAAAGTGCAGACCCCTCGTGGATCCCGCTCAGGCCAACGTCCCAGCATGCCCTCAGCTGGTGCTGTCCCACCCACCACTGAAGACTGCCTAGAGGGGTACAATGCAAGTCTTGTTTCTTTTTTTTTTTTTCTTTTTGTTCTTTTAAAACAATGTTGCACCTTTTTGTAAAGCTTTCTGCCGGTGGTTCATTATCAACAGCGGGCGATATGGGAAAAAAACAAACTCTACAAAAAGGTGCAAAGATGGGGAAGGAAGGGGGGATGTGGCTTACCCCTATTGGCAGGTTCCTCAATGGTGGGTGAGGCGAGACCAAGAGAGGGCATGCTGGGGAACCGCACCGAGCCAGGGACGGCAATCCAGGGCCGCTCTGCACTTTGCAGGCCTGTGAAAAGAGAAAGAGCAACAGCGGTGTCACTGAGGTGCCACACAAAGGACCGACAGCGCCGGGCACAACCTGCAGCCCACTGCAGCATCTCTGAGCATGGCAAGCGATGGTGACCTCAAAGAGCAGCACCGCCTCAGGACCGCGCCGCGCTCCGAGACAAACCGCGACAGCGAAGCTACTTGAAGACAAGGACGTGTGTGTGCCCAGCACCGAGGAACCAGCCAAAGACTGCTCCCCAACCAGAAACATTACAGCAACTCAAAGTCTGCAGCACCACCGCCGGGCTCGGCTCCGAAATCTGGAAATCTGCACACTCAGAAGTCAAAGTTATTTAGTGAAGGTCTTTGGAACCAGCAGTTCTGAATGGTAAGAGATGGATACACGACTAGATGCAACCAGGCAGACAACCTGAATGTATTTAGAGAGAGAGATGGAAGATGAGTGATGACACATGAGGCAGCTCCGACCCGGCTGCAGCTCCTAGAATAACACAGCACAGCACAGACAGAAAGGAGGAATTCAGAAGCAGGGTGAAGGGTTTGGGCAAAGCCAGGCAAAGGGCAAAGAAGAGAATGTGAAAGGAAAGCAGAGGAAAAGGCAGAAAAATGAGGAATGAAGCGACCAAAGTATGCCAACATGTTGTTGTATGAGATACGGATGCCTGCACACATGGACTGACAAATCCACAGCATGGAAATACATTTCCACATTCTCAAGAAGGAAAAGAGGAAGGAAGAGATCAAGTCCATGTTAAGTGCAACACATACCAATTAAAAACATCCACAGTGTTTTGCCTGTTTTCCTAAACTCTGACAGCCAAGAAAATATCTCCCTTGCACTCAAGCAAGACAAAACCAGAACCATCGGAATACTGGAAAATGCCCAAACACGTGAGGAAGGACTCCATGAGCGCCAAGACCAGTTGTTAAATTAGCAAGCTGGGGAAAACTCACACTTCCAGATACGTTTCTTCCACCGGAAGGCTGCCTCCCAAAATCAGCAAAGGCTGGCGTGAAGTCTGGGCCTCGAGGCAGTATCCGAGGGTCCAGGGTCCTCAGTGGCAATTTGGGCTGGTTGACCTGCGTTGCAGAGCAGAGCAGACAAACACGGCCTCGTCAGTGGGCGCTGCAGCTATCGCAGCTCTACAGTCTCTGCTAAACCATAACATTCATACTTAACATCCAAATGACGCTTTTCACAAACCAGGCAAGTTTTATGCACTCCCATTACACTAAAGGCGCACTTAATGCCTTCCACAGATGGCAACTGTGGAAATATGTGATGCTCAGAAACGTTTCAAAGCTGAATATCATTTAAGGAAGATAAAACCATGCCAGCACAGGCCCGTCCTGTGCACAACAAATGCAGCTGTCCTGTTTTGGGATCCCAGAGCTGCCACCTTCCCTCGAACAAATCCCTGTGGTGATAACACAAGAGACTGCTGGCTGAGCACAGGCAGCCCAAGAGCAGACAGAGCAGTGAGAAGCCAGCACAGAAAACTAGTGGGAGGATGGAATCATTCTGGGAACAGTGCTGTGTGTCACAATTTGTCTGGGCACGAAATTCAGAGTAGAAACATTTCTACACGTGAGAATCACCTACACCTGAACTATGCTCGAATGTTAAGAACGAGCCTGTGGTGCTCACACCAAACTACACAGCTCCAACAGAGATAGGAACAGGCTCCTGACGGCAGCCCACCCAGATAAGGAGTACTTCAATACACAGATGTACAGGAGGGAGAAGCACATCTGTAATAAGGCGGCTTACAATCACAAAGCTTTGTGAGAGCCGAGGTATTAGTCATCGTTTATTAGACCTGCTCGTAAGTATCAACACAACTGCTTCAGATGAAAACAGCCTGCCCACAAGCAGGGCTATGCTTTCCTAGCGGCAGAAATGAACTCTTAAAAGACAACGGCTCTCCTTTTGCTCTTGCTTTGCTAATATCCTTGGGTCTTAATGGCTGTAAGACAGCACTTTCAATTTTAAAACTACTCAGTGTAACTTAATCCAGGATACAGACCATTAAGAAAACCAGTGCTTCAGATTTTAAATCGTCTGCACTCATTCACTACTCAACAAATCTTGTGATGTGACACGAGCCCTTCCTGATTTTCCCCTTCCTGACAGAAGTCTTTGCCAAAAAGGTGAACGAGACAGAATACATCAAAGATCTGAATTCAGTAAGAAAAACCACGAAACCAAAGGGATTGCACGCACCTGTTTGATGGGCTCTCCTCTCACCTTGTCGAGAACCACGTCACTGATGGGAGGCAGCCCTTCTGGCTTCTGGATGCAGGCAGGCATGAACTGGCAGTCCAGCAGGAACTCCCTGTCGTACTGCTTTTTCCCATCCGGGTCCAGAGGCTTCCACTGCTCTATAATGAGAGAAGCTGCTGAGATTCACAGGGAGCAAAACCTCCACTTTCAAAGACGCGTTCCTGTTTAATCCGAAGGGGAGAGTCAGCTAATGCTGCGCAGGAAGTTGGACTTGAATTTTAATTTTGAAGCCCGCCAGGCAGTGAGGAGAGGAACATACGTCACATGAAAGGAACATAAACAAGTGGGGGCACACGGCCAGCCCAGCGCCATGTGGAACTAATAACCAACCTGGAGCCCACGTCCCCTCACTTTACTCTTCACATCTGCAGGAGATGCCACGTTTGTGCTGCACGGATGCCAGGCTGCTGCTGTGCTTTGGCCTGTCCATTCACACCTGCTGCTAAAGCTTTATCTTTTTTCTTTATTTCACTCCTTGATCAGTGGTTTTGGGTTCTCAGTAGCCTGATCCCTGCAGGAGCCTCTCCTCAAGCAGACCTCCTAATTTGTTTCACAGAATTTCCAGGCTCCTAATCAAATGACTTCATTTATTTTGAGGAAGCTCCACTTGAATAAGAAATAACTTAGAAACTGGTAGCAACTGTAAAGTGAGATGGTCTCAAGGTCTCTCTTAATAAGGTGAACTTCCCGATGGTCCGGCCTATGAGTGGTCTCCATAATAACACCCCCAGGCAGACCGTACATAGCACCGACCAGCAACAAGAGCACAGTGTCACACTCACAGAATGGCTCTGGGTTAGGAGGGACCTCAGCGGTGATCCATCCCCACCTGTGCTGTGGGCTGGCTGCCCCACTAGCTCAGGCAGCCCTGGGCCCATCCACAGCCTTGGCCAACTCCAGGAATGGGGCCCCCTCACTGCCCTCTGAGCCTGCACGATGTATTTCATCAGAAAAACTGCACCACCACAGCTCAGCAGCAGAGCCTGGGCTGACGATCAAGCATTGCTTCTCTCTTTGTTACAATTCCTGTTTGATCAGGTGACTAAAACTGCACACACACTCACTCCTGTGCAGCACCCAGTTGGGACTTTCACAGCGTTTAGTAAAAACCGTGTCTGCTTATGTGCAGCTTCTCAGAGCCCACTGGTTTGTGAATCCCAGCAGAAGGCAAGCAACCTGCAGCAGCCCGGAGCGTGCTTACCTGGCTTGTACTGCAGTGCAGGCCCTTCAGCAGAGCCCTCTGTGCAGCCCGAGATCACGTCGGCCCCCTCTCCCTCCGACATGCTCTCAGCACCATTGCGGACAGGCTCTGCCTCCTGCTCTCCGTTCTCTTCCACAGGTTTCACTTTTTTAAGTTCGGAGGGGTCTCTCTCCAGCTGAAACCCATGGCTCATGTTATCTTGTTCAGATTCAAGTACTTTGTCACTCGAGAGCTCCTCTTCTACTTTAGGCTGAAGCAGACACAAACACAGAGGTGCCGTCAGAGCCCTTGCAGAGCCCAACACCTGCAGATGGCTCCCCGTTCACCCACGCAGCCTAACAGCCATGTTTTGTGTGCTTCTTCTACTAATCCTAAGCCTTCCTGCACGTGCTGTGCAGATCCATAGCAACACATGTGCTGACCACACCATGTACTGACACTCCTGCTGTTAACTGTAGAGCTCTGAGGATACAGCCCTATTCTGAATTCACACACGGACACCGCAGTGATTAAACAGAAGGACTCTGAGGTGCTCCAGGAGAGTCTCTTATCTCTCCTCCCAACCTACATGCACCGCATCCTTTCACGCTTTTTGCAGGTTTGCAAGTTAAAATGGCATGGCGTTCCATTTTAGCACAGGTGAAAATATCAAAGAGTGCAAAGATGGGACTCCTCCAGCACTGACAGGAGAACATTCAGAGAGAACCTGCAGGGGCAGCTCAGCCAGCGCCACTCTTCACATGCACACCAGCACGGTGTATATCCTGAATGGTTACAGTTCCCTCATCCGCTCTGTAAGTTCTACTGTCAGTTTTACCCAGGACATTTAAGAAAGAGGCTCACCATGCACCACCCCTACCAGAATGGCAGCAAAAGCAACACTCCCAGTTTGTCTAACTGCAGGTGAGGCGGTTTTGCACAGATGTCAGCTATTTTCCTTCCCAGCTCCTCCATCACACAGTCATTCTCTGGTCATGACATCACAATGACATCACTGTGCAGCAAAAGAATGTCCCAAATGCCACCAGAGTGGCCCTGGGACACCCAAATGGTGCACTTTTAAAGGGTTCAAACCCATTTCCCCTTGGGACAGCATTTAAGACTCCACATTCTTGAACGCTAGAAGCATTCAATAAGGCAAGAATGAAGAAAACTTGGAGCTTCAAGGTCCAGGGACAGCCAAAAGCCACTGCTCTAAGAGATGCCAGGGAATATCACAGGTTTGGGAAATGTTCCCAAAAAGTCTGCCTTGGGTCCTTGTGAGACAGAGAAAGCAGCGTGTCTGAAGCAGCCTTTGAAGACATCAACATCATCAGTGAATACAGAGAAAGGACCGCTGCGTTCCCTCACCTCTGCCTCTGCCTCTGTCACCTCCTCAGTGCCCTGGGTCCGCTCTTTTGGTTTCTTCCACGTCTTTGGTGCAGTTACAGCAGTTGAGGCTGCAAGGCAAGCGTGCATCCATCAGAACACAAGCGACGCGCTTCCCTCCTCACTGCGCTGCCAACCACGCAGGGCAGTGGAGCAGCCGCAGCCTCACAGAGGTTTTATTTCAAAGCAGCGTTAACAAAATCATCCGAGCGACATTAAAACAGGATAATTGTTCCACAACTGCTTGTTGGAGCTCCAAATGGCCCTTCTGACAGCATTACCAGCACTGTGAGGATCGTGTAGGGCAAAAGAGAACATCAGAAACCAGAGTTTTGGGAGGTGACGTCCTGGTGAGGCATTTCTCAGCAGGTGCATCACAACGGCTCACCACCACCCAACCCACAAACCTCACAGGGCGACCACGGCAGCACCGCCAGCACAGCACCTCCCACTCCAGCAGCCCAGTTCTCGTGAGCTGGGTTTATGTTTTGATTTTAAAGCAGGTTAACAGCTCCACTGCTCATTAATTTCCCCGGACAACTGATTCAAAGAAAATACCATGTAATATTTCTAGGGTCTGCAGTGATTTACTCTAATTACCTTTCTCCCCGGAAGGGTAAAAGAAACCATGCAGCATATTAAAATACAAAACCATTAGTCCAACATGCTCGTAATTTGTTGCCAGTGCTACCAACTTAAATTCTGACACAAGCACACGTGCATATTTAACAGTGTAAACAGAACTGATTTTGTGATTGAAGTTTCCAGCAGATGGATTTGCTGCTCAAGCCTTTAGTTTCCAGCAGATGCTGAGGAAAAGCGTCTTCCTTTCTTTACCATTTCACCTGAACAACAACATTCTGCTGACAGGATGGGCAGAGTACAAACCCCGACCTGGGAGAGTTTCACCCTCCCTGAAGCACCAACCTCAGAGTTTCGTTGATGCTTTACATGACTTGAGAAATTCTCCTTTCTCAGTTGTGAAAGCCCATGTCTTGGCTAACAGACGCCAACCCCAGGATGTGCGTGCAAAGCTGGCTACCACTTTTATGAACAATTACCCAGGGATGTTCTGTAGCTGCAAACAGAGCTTAGCATTTTGCAATCAAAGCAAAGGCCATGAGCAGAATCAGATTTCCCGGAGACAGATACAAACGGGAACACCAGACAGAAGAGCCCCAAAAAGCCCTTCCAATGGCTCTGCTGCATGCCCCGTGCTGCCAAGCACTTACCTGGGACAGGACTCTTCCTAGAGCTCAAGCTCAGAGCCTCCGTGCTCTCCTCCAGTTGCCCATCCGCCTCCGTCTCCTCCTTCTTCTCAGCATCTGTCAGCTCTTCACTAGGAGCAGTCCTTGAGCCTTCCTCTCCCTCCACATCTCCCTGAGCAGGGGGGGCACCGGGAGGCAGAGGCAGTGGTGGGGAAGGGGCTGTACTGGTCAGAGCAGCAGGAGGAGAAGGAGGGCTGGGAGCTGGGGCGGGCGGCGGGGATGGGGCTACACGGGGGGTGCTGGGGGGGGGCACGGAGCCCAGGTCCCCGGGAGCTGCCTCTGGTTCCTGTGGGTCAGCAGCAAGTGGCACAATGTCCCCTGCAGCCACGTCGGCCCCACTCTCTGCGGCAGCGACGCTCTCACTCACTCCGTTCAGTTCCTTACTGGTGTTCATGCTCACGCTCACAGTCACCGGCACATCGCCGGGTGCCACAGGGCTGCCCGCCTCCTGGCACGCCTCGCCACGGGGCTCCTCTGTGGGCACTGGGTCCGACACGTCCAGGCTGGGGAGAGGCATCACCTCCTCCTTGGGGGAAGCGACTTCACATCTCTCCTCGGGGTCGGCGGTGGGCGAAGGTTTAGCAGCAGCGGCGGTGGCAGCGGCCGCAAGTGGGGCGGGGGGCGGCGATGGGGCCACAGAGGGGGCCGGCGGGCTGTGCGGAGGGCTGGGCTCAGCCACCGGCAGGGCCGGGTCCTGCTTCTCTGCTGTGGGCTCTGCCCGGAGCACGGGAGAAGACGGCTTTAATACTGGGTCTGGTTTTGGCTTCTCTTCTGGGAAAGGAAAACAAAAGGCAATGTTACAATCTGAACACCAGTCTCTGCTGTAGCTGCCCCCCCGGCCCCAACTCCCCTGCTCCAGAAACTCCACAGAAGACAAAAATGCACCTGAGTTGGGTTCTGTTGCGGAGGAATATAGGGCTGTAGCGCCGAGAGCTGAGCAGCTCCTGTCCTGACAGGCAAACGGGCGCTGAGAGCAGCCAGCTGCCTGCGAAATCCCCGCCAGCATCGCCGCATCGTGTCACAGCCATGGGATGGCTGAGGTTGGAAGGGGCCTGAAAGCCCACCCCTACCATGGGCTGGCAGCCCCCACCAGCTCAGGCTGCCCAAGGCCCATCCACAGCCTGGGGCACCTCCATGGATGGGGCACCCACAGCTCTGGACAGCAGTGCTAGGGGATGCTGCCCGACGGCTGGTGACAGGCTGTGCTTTAAGCCTGCCATGCATCACATCATCACCGCTATGTGAGACACATTCAGCTTCTTCTGCACTTGCTAGTTCTAAGCTCCAACAGACTGAAGGACATAATCCCATTTTTGTTCTAAATTTCAGCCAAGAGGAGATATCTTTTCCAAAGAAAGCAGAAACAAAAGCGAGTGAAGCACAGCTGCCACCAAACAGCACCACTGCCACCACGTGTTTGTGGTCCAAAGGCTCAGGAGGGTTGGATTTGGATTCTGAAGGCTCTGTGGAACGACCCAGAACTGGTTTAGAGAAGAAAATGCGTCACCTCCAATTCTGGAATGTGGCTGCAGAGTGGAGCATTCCTGACATTTACAGTTCTCTATAAACACTGCCTGGGTATTCTCTCCCCAGAGATAAATGTGATTGCTCAAAACAAAACAAAACAAAAAAAACCTCGAACATTTGAAGAGCCCAGAAAAAACATTCTGGGAAGTAAAAACACAGCAAAAGCCATACAGCTGCATCTGGAGAGCGGTGGTCCAAACAAACAGCCTTCAGCCTGCACCTCATGCAGGGAGGACTGTGCAGAATTCAAGGAGAGATGGAACCAGAGGAGGATTTCAGAGCCAGGAGCAAACCTGGCCAAGGAGAAGCACATCTTCCCTTGGAGACCAAATCTCCAAGTCCCGGTGAGGATTCCCATCTGCGAGCGACCACAGAGACAAGGACCCACACATGGCTGGGAAGGCCAAACAGCAGCATGGGAGCCGCTCATGCACACTGACTCAGCCCGCTTATCTTCCCTCGGTGTGCCCAGGGAGGCAGTGGGGTGCTGGGTGAGATCCAGCTGGACATGGGAACCCATCCCAGCTCCACGCTGTTTATCCAAAAATAATCACTGGGCTCGCTGCCATTTTTCCACCCTTTGTCCCAGCACAGATATTTGTGAGGCAGAGCTGCTGCTCACTGGAGCACTCTGCAGTGCTCTGCACACACCGGGCACCGACAGCACTGAGCACTGCTTGCCCACATGGTGCTGCAGCCCTCAGCTCTGCCTGCCTGCATCCCTGCACGCCCGCACAGCCCGACAGCCAGGGACTGCTGCAACAGCTGTGAACCCAGAGCATGGACTGCTCGTCTTGTAGAGAAAGTCCAAGAATTCCAAAGGCTGCCAACAGCAGTGCCGGCTGTGCTGCTACACACAGTGCCAGCCCTGCACCACACACATTGCTCACTGAAGCTTTTCATGGCCATAAAGTGTCACCGCAGGACCTGGTGCGCAGCACCTCCCCTCCTCTGACATCTCCTCTCCACACAGACAGCTGAAGACCCCCTTCAAACACCCATTCTGAGGTGTAAGAATGAAACACGATCACTTCAGGAAACCTTTTCCATCTGTGCCCTGGTTTCTTTTTGGTGACCCATTTCCGAGACTCACGGCCCAGTCACAGTTTTTCTAATTACTTTCTCCCACACCACAGGCCAGAGCTCTCCGGGCACCCCTGGGATGCTCTGCTGCGGCTGATGAATGGCAGCAGTGATGCCAAGCCTCTCTGCTAAGAGCCCTTTCCTGACGTACGTTTGTTTCTGAAGGACGGCACGTGGGTGAGAGGAGCTTCACAGTTCTCACTGCTCTGGAATAATGTTCACGACATACAAGCTTTAATACCATTTTTCGTTAAGCAGTTTCACACAGGCAAATTTCAATTAATTCCCTTAGCAACACATTGTTCCACGTTCCACTGGAGGAAGAGACGGCCCCTCCCCTTCTATTGCTGCTGAATGCCACCCTGCTTCTCTCCCTGCCAAAAATATTCCAACTGGAACAAGAAAGGAGAAAAAGGACTAAAAATAACAGCAGAGGAAATATCTGATGACCAACCTTGCTTCGGGGCGATGGCTGCGGGGCCGGCAGTGCTGGCAGTGAGGTGGCTGCTCTCCACTGGCCCATAGAGCACAGGGCCGGGCTCTGGGACCTGGCTGGGCAGCTGCTGAGGGTGGAAGGACAAAACAGGGCAGCAATGAACATGAGAACAGAAAAACTGGCAATGTGAACACAAGCAGGGAAGGGGGAGATGAGAAGAGCACAGGGGAAACCAAGAGGCAGGGAGAAAATAAGAGAATGCCAGCACAGAGGGAGCTCGATGCCTCCCATATGCAGACACACAGTGCAGGAGCAGCAGGTCACACAGCTGAGAAGGATGCAGAACCCGACCTGACAGAGCAGAGGACACGGCTGTCCGGCTCCTTTCAGACACCGTCAGAAATCCACGCTGAATGCATTTCCCTAAGAAGAAGCTCTGCCCATCTCCTCCCTTTCCTGGGACTCCCCTTTCCAACTTCTTCAGCTACTGCCTTTGAGCAGGGCAGAACACTCCTGCTTGACAGAAATCACCGATGCTGTTGGAACAATAACTCTTAACCTCCTGGCTCAAGCGGGCTTGAATTTCCAGTTGTGTTGCACAAATGGAATTTCACTGGTGAGCTCTATCTCAGAGCTCTTCTGTCATTAACAAAAGTGGCTCCAAGTAGCTAATCAAAACGAAGCCTGATTATGAAACAATGAAGTATTTGCATACTTTGCTTAGAGCATATGATTGGACATCACCGTTGCACTCTGCATAGAAATGACAGCTGATGAGAAATCCAGGCTTACTAACCTCCTCTTGAGGAGCATTTATTTTGTCCTGTTTGACTTAATTGTAGTATCTTAAAATAGACTGCTGGATGCAGAAGCAACCCGGTGAGTGCCTGCGTTACCTGCACCCCCCACAAGCACTCTGAAACAGCTGTCTGCAGCTTGTCCACACTGCCATTTCCAGACTCTGGGGTTCATGTCAAGGTGCATGTGTGCTCATGGCAGTACTGCCCATCTGCACTGCTCTCCTGGTCCAGAAAGGACCCAACAGCCCCAGGTTTCCAATCAGCTTAATTGTTGGCCATGCCCTTTTCTGTTGATTTGGTTTTGTTGTTTGTTTCTTTCCCTTTAGAGGCTGCACACACAAAGACCAGATTTGGAAATTCCACGATAAATGGCCTGAGTCACTGTCCCTGTAGCACCCTAAAGCAAGACTAAAGTGGGAGGGCTTTAGCATGGACAGTAATGTGATCTGAGATGTACCACCAACCCCAGGCATGACCTATGGGGGGCACGAGCCAGTAGTGGAGACACCACGTCCTCCCCAAAGACTTCACCAGCTTCAACCACCGCTGCTGACACACACAAGGGGAAAGAGGGACTGCCAGCAGCACTGCAGCTCTGCATGGTACAAGCTGAGGGCTGCTAAAAATGACCAAACCTGGGGAAAAAAAAAGCTTAAGGACATGGACAACTTAGGGAAAGAGCATCCAGGTGTTGCTGGTGTGGATGGAAGATAAAGAAGCTGCTCTAACAAAGGCAAAGCCACACAGTCATGCTGTTACCTGAGGCGGGGTTGGGGTGGAGGTGGGTCTGACGATGGGAGGCGTTGGGTTCCTGCTGCCCCCGCCGGACATTATTTCTTCTGTTATATCTTTGCCCCCCTGGTTCGGATCCCGGATCCGGATCTACGGTTTGGAACCAAGAAAGAGTTTGAGTGAGTCTTCCTTCACAAGCTGTCCCTGGGGCTCAGGGGCAGGACATGCTACCATCCCACACAGCATGAGACACTCCAGACTGAGCTGATGCTCTGCAGAAGCACTGCAACCTGAAATGCATGGTATCTCATCTCCTCATCTTAAAACCCAATTCAATCAAAATGCTCATCAAACACACGCACCTCTTCCCTTCGATCTAAAGCAAGTGTGGCACAACTTTAAGAAGAAATGCATGCCTTGTGCATCTGTGATCTCTAGATTTGGAAAATAAGCTTAGCGAAAATTGGACAATGTAGCAGTTTAGCTACAGAAATAAACTTGCCAGACAAAAAGAAAGAAACAAAAAGCCCCATATTACCCAATAGGAGATGCAGTGGCCTTGGCAGCCCAGCTGCTGGGACAGGAGAAAGCCTTTCAGTTTTCCTCTTCCACACTGAGATGGAGCATGCCATACAAAACCAAACACCTGAGAACACACTGAGCGCTCAACCGGCGCCTGAACCGCTGTCACTGCAGGTGGGAATTCATCAGGCCGCATGGAATGAAGTATCACTGCATATATTCTTCAGTGTATAGCTTGTGGGTTCCCATGAGCTGCAGAAGTGTGTTCCCTCCCATCTGGCTGTGACGTTACAGAACAGCACAGAAAGGTTCCCCATCAAACTGAAACGAAGTCAGCGCTGCGCAGTGCCAATGCAGTGTGGGTGTGCGATGGAAGAGTCAGCCCCTCCAAAGATACAGCTCAGGTTTCAGCTCAAGCCCTCACCCATGTCCTTCAGCCTTAGCAGCAGGGCAGTGCCCAGACACAGCGTACTGTCAGAGAGGCTCCCTTACCGTTTTTTTCTCTCTTTTTGCTGGTGGAGGCTGCTGCTGCTGCGTAGGCACTATGATGGGTGCTGACTGATACACCGGCTGACTCGGGTAGAAAGGTGTTCCTGGGGAAGGACAGCACAGAAATGAGTGAGAGATTCAGCTTGTTTGTTAACGAAACAAAACCAAACACAAGAGGTGAAGCTGCTTGTCCACCTGCTCCTCCCTCCCTTCTTTTGACCAACACTTCCAGCTGCAAACCAGTCTGTTTTGCTCTTCCCCACTTCCACTAAATGGGAGCTGCTGCTCCAGCAAGACAGGAGATGAGGTCACTTCTTCACGTGAGAGCTTAGCATGTGCCCCAGTGGCTACTGAGACCCCTAGGGCAGGAAAAGCAACGTGCCCCCCTTGGGCTCCACTGCTTGGTGACACAAAGAAGCACAGACAGCACCCCAAAACTACACTGCTTTGCTGACTGCATGCCTAACATCCAACACCACTGCATTTTCTTTACGCACTGAGACTGCCTCATGGAGAATGGGTTCTCTCCAGAAGTGCTCCACAAACAGGAGTGTCACAGCAGAGCTGTCTCCTGTCCACATACCAGACAGCAGGCAAGCGTGCAATGCAGGGCTGTTGTCTGCTTTTCCATGGATGCTAGATGGCCACTTGCTTTCACTCCCCCCCGAATTAATCTGATTTATTCTTCAGCTGAACTAACCTTTAAATGGGAATGAAAATCTGCACTGTGTTTCTGACGTCTTTGTGACCACTGTAACCAAAACAGGAGGTTACTGCTATCTCAAGCAAGTGGAGAAATACACAAAAGCCAGTGAACCCAGCTCTGCACAATCTGATCTGCAACTTCAAAGGATGCATTCCTCAAGCTGTCAGCTGGAAAGCAAGGGCTGAGAGCAGGCCCCACTGGGGGGCTCCAAAGGAAGCTTGCAGCTCCAAAGGAAGGGCTTGTTGAAACATCCTGGGGTTTCCCAGAGTTCTTAGAAGTGGGCAAGGCAAGGCAAATAATGGCAATAACAATGATATGCATTACTGCAAGACACCTATTTCTGCAGTCATTCAAACAGAACAGGTTTGTTTGTGCTGACAGATCCTGCAGAAACTCTTGGAGGGGACTGTGCTTCGAGTGTGGTATCATCGCATATGGCAGCATGTTAGAAATGAAAAAGCGTTTCCAAGGCCCTTCCAAGGGCTTTGGAAGAAGAAGACCTGCCAAAGGAAGAGGTGCCATGGGACAGACGGACGCTCACACATCTGCATGCAAGGAGCCAGGAGAGAGGCGGCTGTGAGCTGCTGGGGGATGGAGGAGGAAGCTGCTCTGCTCCGTGGTGTGGCTCTGAGCCTCAGGGCCTGAGAGACAGTGTCACACACTCAGCACCACGTGCAAACGGCCACAGAGCACAGCACAGGGCGACCACCCACCCCACAGCACCAGACAGCAGGTAAGGCACAAGGCTAGCCCTTCTCCATTTCTAAACACCAAACGAGGAATGTGGGAACCAAAGATGCTAAGTTTGGAGGGCGTAGCTCAGAGGAGACAAGGGCTGAGGGATGTATTGACAACACCTTAATCAATAGTAATGATTTAGCAGGGAATAACAGCCGGCCACTATTCTTGTTCACACGTGACTGTGGGTAGTTCTATGAGCTGCAGCCCTTCCTTGAGCATTCATACAAACAAAACTCTATTACTGTGATTTTTTCAGGAGTGAATAATCAGGGCCGTGACACAACCGAATCGAGCAGCTATTTAAAGTTCAAATAAATGCTAATCCAGTTTGGTATTACAAATCTTCAGCTTGACAAGTGCAAAAAACACACGCAGGAAACGTCCAAGCAGAACTCACCGTAGGCATTGGGGAATTCCCCAGGACCTGGTCCTGGATAGAAGGGGCCCGGCCCCGGCGGCTGCACAGGGTACTGCTGGGGGGGCCCGACGTAGGGTGGGCCGCTGTGGCGATACTAGGAGGAAAAACACAACCACCTGTTTACAGAGAGATAGGCGATGGCGTGCTGCTGCACGAAGGAAATGCAACAGAAGCCTCAAAAATCAATAAAGATGAGGCTGTCAAAGTTCTTTACAAAGACAAGTCACTCCCCTCTTTCGGTAATACTGCGTTCTTACAAAGCCCAAGGTTTTAGAGCTGTTAAGTCAATTTAAATACATCTACAGCATTTTCCAAGGAGCTTGATTTCACACCGTTGCTGAAAGGATCTCGAAAACCAAAGGGTTCATTCATTCCTAATGCCTCCGTGCTCAGATGAGCAGATATTTCATAAAAGAGAAGGTCGGGATCTAAATATGCAGCGAGAGTTACATCTCTCTCCCTCTGCTGATGCTGCAGCAGTCATGGAGAAAATCCAGACAGAGCAAAGGTTGCTTGGCTTCTAGAGTGCCTGGGAAAGGTGTCTGTACCTGTGGTATACAGTACTGGGGGGCCTGAGGCATGGGATACGGCATCGGCAGGTGATTAACCATCATGATGTGTTGGTTGGTCTGATACACTGCGGTCGGTGTTTGTGCACCAGGACGGATGGAAGGGCTGCTGTTCTGGATGGTGGCTCGTGGAGGCTGGATCTGAGGCCTCTGAAAAAACTGGGGCAGGGAAGGGAGAGAGGGAGGAGAGAGGAGAGAACAAAGAGTCGGTCAGTCCTTCTGGGGAAGGATGGGCAGCATTACAAAGGCAGACAATATTGCCATTCAGTACTACTTCCAAAGGGTTGCCACGCATTCAGAAAACAGCAGGACAATTTCTGACTATTTGTAAACAACAAGCTCATGCTAGCACCTTCGATTTTTACCAGGTGTGAAACTTTACATCTAGCTATTAGTTTGCACCTACTGAATTACACACCCCAACTTTCACAGCAACAGCCAGAAACACAATTTCTGTCAAATATGCTTTTATAAGGTGGGATGACTGCCAAAAGCCACCTTTATCAGGAAATCAAAGATCAAGGCAGCTGTTCCAATCTAACTCCAGAACAGCTGAAGGCCCAGCTTTATGAAGGGCACAGACGCCCTGTGCAAACCGAGCCAGGGAACTTGTCTTGTGCTTCGTTTCCAGAAGGGTGGCAACCTCTTCCAGGTGGCACCAAACTCCTCTACCATGTTTGCATGAAGTGATGCCCCAAACAAGTGGAACAGGTCCAGGAAATCAAGGAACCCACTGGAATGTGCTCAGGTCTCGGCTCGGAAGCACTGGGAAAGGCACCAGCATCCCAGGATGGAGCTTTCACAGCAGCCCTCGCTTCGGCTGCGAGCCCTGGCAACCCTCAGACCCAGCTGGTAAGGTATGCAGACAGTCAGGCATTCACTAACAGAATAAAGATGCAAGTGATAAAGAGACACTTATGCCATGCAGAACCAGGAGTTAAAATTACCTGTATAGGTCTGAATCCTCCCTTCAATAACGAAGCAAGAAAGCAGCAGGAAACAGAAAGAAAGCCAATGGAACAGCTTACAGATCAATAGGAAGGAATAGGATTTAACATGCACCCTAACTGCACACAGCTCCATTCATCTTTCTGCCCTGCTGTGACTGAGATCCTGCACAAACAGCAAGAAGGACACTGAACTGGTGCAGGACTGTCCTACCAGAACCCCACATCAGGGGCAGAAACTCCTCTGGAAAGGTTTCATATGGAAGTACAGAAATTAATAATAATAAAGAAAAAAAACAAACAATAATTAACTGTAGGAATTGTGATGCTACACAAAGACTCTATATTTACTCTGTTCCTAGGTCAAACATTTTTCCTTTTTGGTCTCTTTCAGTAATACAAAGTGGATAAAGCAGTAACACATGCTCAAATCATGGGTTTGGTCTCCACTTCTGCATCCAGACTGGAAGGATAAGAAATGCCACGTATTTAATTGCTAAGCAAAAGAATAACGATAATAAAATTAGGTCATCGTACATCACACCAAAGAAAGCTGACTGATGAAGTGTATCAATGCAAATAGTCTGTGAGCAACGGCATCATGAGCAGTGAGAACCAAAAAAAGAGGGTAATTGCTAAAGGATGAAGGCATGTGCTAGGCTTGTCTGCCTCGGCATCCGGAGAGCGCGGGGCAGGGCAGAAGGAAGCTGTGATGCCTCTATGTGACATGACAGTGACATTAAAATGGCCGTTCTGGTGCTCCTGAGCGCTCTATGATACCTACAGTGCTCCCATAGCAAAACACGTCTCCAGAAAAGCCAACCTCTGCTGCAGAAATCCAGACACAACCAGGGTGAGCACAACACCTTATGTCCAACTCTGTGAGCCGGGGTGCAGAGCCATCACTGCTCCGTGTGACCCGGACAGCAGCAGCTGCATGGGGACATCTGGAAGTGAGGGTGCAGGAAGAGAACGGGAAGAGCTGTGCTGCTGTGCTGCTCTGCTCCTCCACTAACACAGCTGTGTGGCTGCCCAGACGCGAGGAACCACTACCGGGAGATATGCTAAATTTACAGTGAGATTAACTGAATTCTGCAATTCCTCAATCCCTGAAGAGATCAAAAAGAATTCTAAAATATTTTCTTTCACTGCTGCTTCTCTTCACTATTCTCAGGGCTACTGATAAATGTGCAGAACCATCAGGGGGGATGCCTTGGAAGGGCCTGTACTCCAGGTTCAGGAATGAAGGAAATCATGTCCTTTCTTCCTCCGCTGCCAACTGCTGAGTTACGACCATTGCTATGCTGTTAGCGGGTTGCAGAACTCTGGGAGAGCCAAAGTGCAGTAGGGAATGAAGAAGAAAGGGAAGGGAAGGAAACAATGAGAAAAGAGAAGAAGAAAAGAAGAAAAAAGGCAATAGCCACCACGGTTCTGCAGAGTGAAGGTGCTGGAGATGGATGCTCCCCAGCAGCAGGGCAGAAGCTGGGAATCCTGCAGCGGCGCACACAGGTGCCACCCCACACTCCTGCAGACACGTGTCAGGGGCCTGCTGGTAACACAGCACTGAAATGGCAGAGGAAAACCTGACAGCAATGGAAAGTGCTGGCCTACGGACAGCTTTTCCTTTCTGCCTCTGGCAGAGCATGAAACATGAGGGGTAGGGGAGACACGCTGGAAAAACTGCTCCTCGTGGAACGCAAGCCAGCTCTCCTCCCTGCCTTGGCAGATGGAATGAAAGCATGCTCTGTGCACCACGTTGTACTGCCCTTCCACCGAGCACTCAGTAACACCAGGGGAGTGCCAAGATGCTCCATGGCAGAAAGAGAACCTCCAGCAAGGAAACTTGGGGTTAAGCAAGCAAACCAACCAAACCAACAACCTCTCCACAACACTGCCCACACCATCAGAGAGGAAGCTGGATCCAGAGAGGAAGGAAAAAAAATAAGGTTCTCATTACTTCTAGGAAGAAGGACACAGCAAGAAAAGAAGCAGATCCGTTATTCCAAACAAGACAACAGGAGGATGTGGAAGAGCCAGCCACAGAGGTCTCCAGCAAAGCCTGCATTGCTTTGAGTTATTCCAGTTCCTGTAAGTCAAATTAAAATACACAAGAAAATCAGATTTCAGAGCACTGTGCAACAGGTTTGTTTATGGGTTTTACTGCCCAAACTCTGCACTATCAGACTTCTTGATGCTTTCTCCTATTACGTCCCTTCGAAGCTAAACTAGCAATACTCAAAGTCATTCACAGAAATATTTTACTACACTGATTTGGTAAAAGATTTGTTTTGAAAGGCCAAAGGGGTGCTCACACAGACCCATTTTTAAGTAATGCTAATGGTACCCTACAGGAGAATGCCAGGAGGTTGAAAACAGACATTGCGCCCCACCTTCTTCCAGAAAATGCAGAACTGGGCCCGGAGCGCACAGCACCCACAGCGCCAGAACAAAGGTGCTCTGATGCTTCTCACAGAACCCTTCCCAGATCACTGCCTTCAAAAAGCCCTGCTATATCCCAGCGATGGTCAAATTAGTGCAAAACACTCTCGAGTCAACAAGGAAGGAGAGAAGAACTGAACTGCGGTCCTCAAGTCCCAGTCTCACCCCTCATCTGTCCACCTCTGCTAGCTAAACTCTTCCAGTCTGCTCAATGAGCTCTCATCATCTCAGCAGCCCTCCTTGTATCTGCCCAAGGAAATCTTTGTGGAAAATAAAAAAAGGATAATCACACACATTCCCCAGACATGGCTTTGCCACTACTTCCTAACACAGCAGTAGTAACTCCCTGTTCCAACTGGAAATAACTGCTCTTGCTCATGTAATGATGGCATCACACAGGTGGTCCCAGCCAACACTTGGTATTTCCCTTGGCACTGAAGTGTGAGGGTCTGCTTTCTGCGATGCTGAATTGCACCTTGCTTCCCCTGCACTGGCCCTTCTCACATAGGCTCCCTATGCTGCCCATACTTCCCAGCCTTGTACTCGTTAGGTTTGCTGCAGACATTACCTGCTCTTTGTACCATGGCGATCAGTGAAGGAAATCCACCACGAACCTCCTGCCTACCCTCTCAGCACTAGTCTGCCACTTACCCAATCAGTCCTTGTAGACACCCCAATATTCTCTTATTCAGCATGTTCTGTTTTCATTTTCCTCCCATGCACAACCCTGTGGTCCCAGACACTGTCTGCTGAAGGGCTGCCATAAGAGACATCAGATTTGCAAGCAGACAAATAAATGACCAAAGCAAACGCCAACCTCCTGATAAACCTCTGCTGCGCCTTAACTGATTTTCTATTGGCTCCAGATTTCTCAGCCCTCACTCCCAGGGAAAAGCTCTGAAAGCTCCGCTGAGCAGCGCAGCTTCTGGGGACAGCAGAGCGCACGGCATGCGCTGGGTTTGCTCAGATTGCTCCACTGCAGTGAGGCTGGAAGCTGCAATGATCCATGAAGCCCCGCACAGAACTGCAGAGAAAGGCAGTAAAAGCAAAGCTCAACTTGCTGGCCATAAGCCTCCAAAAGGTTCCTTCATCCCCTGCGACCAAATGAACTCTGGCAGCAAATCTCCGACCTCTCGGCACCGCAAGGCTCTGTAACACAGCACGCTGCTGATGCCTTCTGCTGTATAAGCCACACTCAGAAGAACTCACACAACCCCAAATAAATCTGCAATGAGCTACAACTCAGCCTGCCACAACCAATAAACTCACCTCAAATACAATTATAAGCCATACAACCCTTGAGTTTATACTTACACTGATTTCTGTTTTTAATTGGCCTCTTCGAAGCATCCATTCTAAAATATCCCATGCGCTCTTGAAGTTGTTTCCCAAACTAACAGTTATTCTGCATTTTTAGACTCCAGCTCCAAAGAAAACTGCTATTTCCAGTTGCGAGGATCAGAAGAAACAAGGTGGCCCAACAGCTTCACACCAATCAGAAGAACACAAACAGGGACACTCCGTGTGCACGGCGGGACGTGGGATTTCCACATTCAGACCAAGGCAGCGCCCCCGGGCTGTGCAGGAAGTCACAAGTGGACAGAGATGTAAAAATATCGCTGCAAAACCCTCGATGGCACCCATCTGCTCCCTGATAGAACGCCAGGCCTCCCAGCTGTGCCTCCATAGCTGCATTACCAGCAGCAAGGATTAGTTACGCACATTTAACTTTTAATCAGAAACACTGTGGTTGTTTCCGTTGGACTTCAGCTGCTACTCACTCAGCACAGCATCCTAAATCTCATCTTCATACTTTCAGTCACACAGACCTCAATGACACCTCCTGTAGCACCGGCCAGCTTGGGACCATTGGAGCATTCCTGACCAAGAAGAGACTACTGATACAGCTGCCCCACCACCTTCAGGTGCTTGAACAGTGCTAATTTGAGGACTCCGAAGATTTAATAATTACAAGAAATAACATCAAAGAGCAATCCATCCCTTGACTGCAGAAGACGCAGGATCAATAACAGGCATATTAATGGCATCACAGATCGTTACAAACCTCATTGTGTTGCTGCCTTCCTACAAGAACATGTTACATCGCCGTAGCACACAGCAGCACTGCTGTGGGAGATGCACTTTGGAGTTTTGAGGGTACAAAATCAGCCTCAAAGCCTGCTGCTCATATTCCATATTTCTCTATTTCAGCAGACCACATTTTTCCAGTTCATGGAAGAAGAATAATTTACATTAGACTCAAATTCCTCCTCATGTTGGCTCTGCAATGAGTTCATTCCCACGGCTGTCACTCCTCTGTACAGGTCAGCAGCAAAAATCCCTTTCCCCACCCCCCCAGTTTGCATGGTGGGTAACCACTGACATTGGGATTAAAAGTTACAGGGTGCCCAACTCAGGAAAACACTTGGGAAATTACAAATGCTAACTGGTGACAGGGTCATACCTGGGTCCAAAGAAAGCTTTAAACCGTTATGACAGCAGGGTGCTGCAGTGCCATCAGTGAGCCCTGCCGGCACTGCGAGCATCTCCTGAAGGGCTGAGCTGCCTCACACAGAGTCAACTCCTCCAGGTTCTGCTTCCACCAACCTGGTAATCATTACAAGACTTATTGACAGATCACAATTTGTATTAGTATCAACCTATGAAATAACTATTGATTGACAAACACAGAAAAAACAGAATCACAGGGGTTGGAAAGGACCTCCAGAAATCCCTCAGTTCAACCCCTGCTAATTCCCTGGAGCAGGATGTGCAGGAAAGCATCCAGGTGGCTTGTGAGTATCTCCAGAGAAGGAGACGCCTCCACCCCTGCGGGCAGCCTGTTCCAGAGCTCTGCCACCTCCAAAATTAAAATATTTTTTCTGACATTCATATGGAACTTCTGGGTTCCAGTTTGTGCCCGTTGCCCCTCATCCTGTCTCTGGGCACCACCCAAAAGAGCCTGGCCCCATCCACTTGCCTCCCACCCTGCAGGCATTTCTAAGGTTGCTCAGATCCCCTCTCAGCCTTCTCCTCCCCACACTGAGCAGCCCCAGGGCTCTCAGCCTTTCCTCATGCAGGAGATGCTCCAGGCCCCGATCTCTCTGTAGCCCTGCTGGGCTCTCCCCAGCAGTTCCCTGCCTGCCTTGAACTGGGCAGCCCAGCAGTGGGCCCAGTGCTCCGGATGCGGCCTCCCCAGGGCAGAGCAGAGGGGAGAACCTCCCTTATTCTGCAGGCCGTGCTCTGTGCAATGCACACAGGCTCCCACTGGCCTTCCTGGCCACCAGGGAACTGCTGGCTCGTGGTCTTCCTGTTGGCCACCAGGACACCAAAGTTCTTCTCTTCTAAGCTTCTCTCCAGCAGCACAGCCCCCAGTCTGCACTGATGCTTGCAGTTGTTCCTCCCCAGGTGCGAGACTCTACACCTGCTCTTGCTAAACCTCATCAGGGTACTCTCTGCTCCACTCTCCAGTCTGTCCAGGTCTTGGTTGAACGGCAGCATATTATTCCAGTGTGTCAGCCGCTCCTCCCAAATGTGTATCAGCAAACTTGCCACGGGTACACATATTCCTTCACCCAGGTCATTGATGAAGATGCTGAACATGACCAGATCCTGTACTGACTGCCAGGGAACATCACTAGCTACACGCCTGCAGCTGGACTCCATGCCACTGATCACCGCCCTCTGAGCTCTGCCAGCCAGCCAGTTCCCAGTCCACATCACTGTCCCCTTGTCTGTACCACACTTCCCACGCTTGTCTGTGAGGACGTTAAGGGAGACAGTGTCAGAAGTCTTGCTGACATCAAGTTAGCATTCACTGCTCTCCTCTTGCCAGTCATGACATAATAGTCAAGCATGATTTCCTCTTGTTGAACTCATATTGACTATCTTGATACACCTTCTCTTCCAGTTGCTTGGAGAATGACACCTCTCCAGGGATGGAGGTGAAGCTGACATCCAGAGTTGCCCGGCTTCTCTTTTTTGCCTTTTCTGAAGACTGGAGTGACAGCAGATTTACACCAGTCTTCAGAAACATCTCCCATTCCCTACAACCTTTCAGAGATGATAGAGAGCATCCAGTTCAGCATCCATTCTGCAGCTCCCTCAACACTCATGATTGCAACCCATGGATCTGCATGTGTCAAGCTTGCCTCGATGACCTCTGACCAGATTCTCCTTGACCAAGGGAAAGTCTTCCTTCCTCCAGAGTTCCCCTTATCTCCACGGTCTGTGATTCCTGAGTGCCAGTTTCAGTAGAAAAGACCAAAGCAAAGAAGACGTTCAGTTACTCTGCCTTCTCAGTGTCCCTTGTAACCAGGACACCCACACTGCCCGGTCTTCCTTTTGCTACTGATATACTTAACAAAGCCCTTCCTCTTGTCCTTGACCTCCCTTGCCAGATTTAATTCCAATTGGGCCTTAACCTTCCTCACTGCATCCCTGCATGCCCTGACAACGCTTTTATATTCCTCCAAATGGCCAGACCCTTTTTCCACACTCCATAAGCTTTCTTCTTTCATTCAAGTTTTTCCATGAGCTAACTGCACATCCACATGGGTCTTCTGCCACCTTTGCCTGATTTCTTACACAGAGGGATGCATAAATCTTAAGCTTGGACAAAACAATGCTTGAATGTCAACCAACCTTCTTGGTCCCCTTACCCTCCAACTTTCTAGCCCATGGGATACCTCCAAGCAGTCCTTGAAGAGGTCAGAGTTGGCTTCCCTGAAGTCCAGGATTGCAATCCTACTTATTGCCTTGTTTCTTCCTGCAAGATCCCGAACTTCACCATCTCGTGGTCATGTGCATCCAAGGCTGCCCCCAACCTTCATCTCCCCTGCCAGGCTCGCTTCATAAGAACCACGTCCAGCAGTGACCTCTCTCGAGTCCCCCACTACCCGTGCCAGAAAGTCATCTTCACTGTGCTGCAGGAACCTCCTGGACTCTGTGTGTGTGGCAGTGTCGCTTTTCCAGTCAACATCGGGGGACAGAAGTCTCCCACTATGCATTATCAACATCATATAATATCAACACAGAGATGAAGTTAAGGTCAAGAACATCAATACCTAAACAAGACACTCTGTTGTTCTGCATGCTGCACAGTAATCCTTGCAAACATTCCTCCACCACTGCCCGTCAATGCAATCCCTTGCCATGCAAAAAATCATTTCTCTGTCTCACATGATGTTTGCCTGCAAACAAATAAGTCCAGCAAACGCCTCATTCTGCTCTCTAAGCCTTTTTTTGTGTCCTGCCCTGGAAGGGCGCATGCCTGCCTGCTGCTCACTGAGGCGCAAAGCACAAAGCTGGCCAGTGTGTCCCACTTACCTGCTGTCCCAAAGGCATGCACTGCTGTAGCACCAAGCCCCTCTGACCAGCAGGAGTGATGTGACACCTACAGCTCTCCTGGAACACACCTTCTGTGATATAAGCCTGTCCCAACATTGCTAGAGGTAACTGAATCATTTTTTCCCATTAATGTGGTGCAGACAGATGGGCTCTTTTCAAGGAATCACAGAATCACAGAATGGCCAGGGTTGGAACGGACCTCAAGGGTCACGAAGCTCCAACTCCCTGCCACAGGCAGGACCACAGCCTCCACATTTAATGCTAAACCAGGCTGTGCAGGGCCCCATCCAACCTGGCCTTGAACACCTCCAGGGATGGACGGGGCATCCACAGCACTCTGGGCAGCTGTTCCAGCACCTCACCGCTCTCATAGCAAAGAACTTAAGAAGGAAGAAGTAAGAATGACATGAAAATGACCAAGCTGGGTGAGACTTCCCATACCACTATGCCACTCCTCTGCTGCCCCACATACCCAGGTGGCTCAGGCCACCTCTGTCCCTGCTAAAGCTACAAGAGGGAACAAAACCAGTTTTCAGAGACACTGACAAAGAGCGTCTGCACAGATGATGGTTGGGTTTGATGGAGAAGACAACTTCGAACAGGTCAGAACAGAGCTGTGTGTCTGTCCAGATCCCTCTGCTATTTTGCCCTCCCTACCAACAAGTGCTCCTCTTGACCTTCAGAACTATTCCTTACTTTTGTTCTTCTTAGTCAAGCGATTCCTAACGATGCCCAGGAATACTACAAAGATTCTTAATGTCTGGATTTCATATACTGAGGGAAAGAAAACACTGAGCAATGTAATGATAACCGAAAACCAGGAATATACACAAGGAGTGAATGAATTTGAATTTTTGAGTTTAAAAAGTAGGATTTTCAGAAGGATGTGAATGCCCAGCTCGCATCGAAGTCTTCAGCTCAGGCAAGGTTATCCACTGGGTGCTTTGAGAAACGTGAGCTCCTAGCAACTCAAAAAGGCAAGCAAATTTCACACATACCTGGCAACCTCTACGCTTCTCCATTCCTACAGAAATGGTGTAAGTGGGGTGGTTAATGAGTGCAAGTGACACCAAACTGGAGCTACGTGTTACTCCGCATTGCAGGCAGCTTGTTAGAGGGGTTATGTGGGTGCTAGCAGCTAGGAACGGAGCTCCAAAGCCAGCTTCCGCCCCAGGTTAGTGGGTGACAGCCTCTGACCACCCCCTCCCCCAGCAGATTAGTTTAGGATGGTAATGAAGGGGCAGGGTACTGTACCTGGTGATGGGCAGGTCGAGGCCCCGCTGCAAACTGGGGAAAGGCGGGAGAAACAAACACAAAAGGAAAGGCACAAAGAGTCAGAAACACCACAACGAAACCAAAATGTCACACTCTATGCAAAAATAAACCCACAAGAAAAACCACAAACAGTCAAAGCTGTGCTACAGGACAGTGACAGACAGGTACTGAGAGAGAACGGGTGAGCACCGCTGCGGGGAGTGTGCGCTGCTGCGGAGCTGGCGGACAAACAGCCAAAGCTGCCGGCCGTTCAGAGGTGCTCTGGGGCAGTGCAGGCATTCGTCACCCTGCCCAGGGAAAAACTCAAAGAAGCAGCGGTGAAGGTTTTCAGCTGTTCATAGTGGAGGTAAATGGTGAAAGCAGCTGGCCTCAGAGCCGCTCCCCCGTCTGTGACGGCGAGGGGCTGTCGGCCCGTCTGAAGGACACGGGTGAAGCCGTGCTGTCCCCACGGGCACCGCTGGCACTGGGAACGGGAGAGCCCCCAGCCCCAGTGCGGGCACATCGCTTCCCACCCGCCTAGGCTACGTGGGGAGGAAAGCATTCAGAATTGAACATGCTCGGTCGACATTAAAGCATTTTCCAATAAGTAGTAGGTTGTTAAAATAGAAATAAAAATGAATGCAAGAAATGGAAAATATAAATAAAGATGACAAGGTATCCTCTTTAAGAAGCCAAGTTAGGTACTTCAGCTCTTAATTCTCAGCGTAATCACAGAATCCTCAGATGAGAACAGGTACACCTATGGTGACAGCTCCAACAATTAAAGGGAGCAATGAGACCGGGTCCCACTGTGATGTTTCTCTGCCCGGCACTGCGCAGTGCTGCCCCACATCCCAATGCTGCCCCTGCTGGGACCCTGAGGGCTGCCACAGATCCCGTGGTAGAAAAGGACTAATGAGAAAAGCAATCAAAACTGGCTGCTAGTTACTGACTCTTGTAACGAGATTTTTTCTCAGTCAGAGTAAGCGGAGTTGGAATGACTTCCAGCCCTACATCCCTGCTATTTCCGCAGCATGAAATACAAGATGCTAGTTTAAATATTCACTGGTCCAGCTGATTTTCTCCCTAATAAACATTTTAATCACTCGTTTTCCATGTCTCCAAGAAGCAGTCTCTAATACCAGTGTTCAAACACTGCCTCTACCTTCACCTCACTGCAACACCTGGGTGGAAAGTCAAAAACCTTCAGAAACGAGGACATGCACACACAGCAACTACCGTGAGAGCTCGCAGTCACCTGCGCTGGCTCAGCCCATGACATCCCCACCCCCAGCTCCTGAACCATCTCCCTTGGCTTTCCAGATAAGAAAAAACAAAAGATTCACAGCTCTTCAGACCAAAGACCAGCTGTTGGAAGCATCGGCCTGTGGGAGCCTAGCAGAGATGGATGCACTTTGGGTCCCTGTTCCTCAGGAAGAACTCCTCAAAAAAATGTTGGTTGTTTGAGAAGAAGGAATAGCGCTGACCTGGAAAGGCTGAGAGGGGCCTTTGTGGTGCAGGCTGCACTCCCTGCTACATGCCAGTGAAAAATAAATACATCAGATGTGTTTTAGAAGCACTAAAAAGAGCATAGTGGGATACAAAAACCTCGTGCTGCTTAATCTGAGGGTCAAAACTCCTCTCATCACTGTTCTGCAGGAAAGATTCGTTCTCATCAAGAACTGATGCTTACACCTCAGGAAGCCAGAGACTATGCCAGCGTGAGCAGCGACACGTTAAAAGAAAAAAATATAGATAAATAAAAACAAAACCACAAAATTAGTGAAAAATACCCTGATCTATTTGCACTGGTCACCACTGGCTATTGATTTCTCTCAATTTTAATTTTTTTCTTTTTTTAAAAAAAAACAGTTCAGGTTGACAGGATTCGTTCCTATTAGCAGCTGTAAGCAACAGAACAAACTGTAGTCACGGCTGGCTTGGATTCAAACGGACGCTTTGCTCTTCTGAGGGCTGCAAGATGAAAGCACGGCTCGTGGGGAAACCCGGCAGCACACATCTGGGCACGGCCGCTATCTGCTGCTGGTGGTCCGGCACAGGGAGCACCGACCCGGACAGAGCCGCTGCTGGACGGCACAAACACCAGCGGGGCTCTGGCAGATGCACAGCGGGCAGCCGGTGCTGCCATCACCTAACAGCTCATCTGCGGCGGCGTCACACAACTCGGATTTCATTCTCCTTCCCCCTGCTGCAGCTGCACCTTGACATTCCCGCTATCCCACAGCGGCAACGCCAGGAAGTTACCAGGACAACGCGTGAAGCCAGTTGGGATTGCAAACGCAGCTGTCCTCAGAGGAACAGGAAAGCCCGAGCCGTGCAATTGCCAATGGCCCTGGGATGCATGGAGGAGCTCCGGCCGCACCGCAGCATCACCGCAGCGGGGCGACGGGGCCACGTGGGGGTGGCAGAGCCACCCTGCCGCCTTCCTCTGCCCTCTGCTCCCTCCCCTCACCACCAAAAAAGAAGGCTAAAAATAAATGAAAAATAATAATAAAGTAAACCAAGGCCAGAACAAAATGCAAGAGTAGCCCAGGAGTGGCCGGCCTTGCATTTGTTTTGGGGCGGGGAGGTGGAATGGAATGTTATGTGCGTGGCTTTTAGTAATGGGGGTGGAAATGGTCACTAGCAGAGCAGATGGCAAAAACTGCATACATGAGAGTTAAAAAAAAAAAATGGTTCACGACCACAGAGAAACGGCTGACAACTGCAGGCCAATTCTTCCTCAGTACCTCTTTAGTAACGGCCAAGCCTCTACAATTTGACACGTTTTTGGCCAAATCTCCTAAAAACAGTATCTGCTGAGCAGAAAACCCAAAGTCACTCTGGTCTCCATCTAACAGGTCAGACCTCCAAACTTCAGTTCAACTTTGGATATTCTGTCGCCACTTAACCTGGCAGGAACTGCCATGGGAGCTCATGCTTTTAGCAAAGAAGCAAATCAGTGCAATTCTGTAGATCAGCCAACAAAAAGATGTGGTAAAAAAAAAGAAGAAATAAAGAAATAAAACAGTGCCATCGGCACAATCGCCTGCAAGAAGGAGTACAGTTTGTTATATTGCTTACAATGCAGTATTTTATCCAGCCTCTTCCAGCCAGGGACCTGTAAACCGGACTCTGTTCCAAAACCTTCCTCCTCTTCCAGTTGTCTGTGCAATGTATTGGCACTGTTCTGCTGGGCTGTCAAAAAAACTGGTTTAGAGATGCAGCTCTTCAGTCAGGTTTTGCTCCAGTTCTAACCATATCAATTTATTTTTGCTTTTCAACAATTAAAGATGTTGAATATACTTACTGAGCAAAGAGCTTTACCGTCAGTATCCCACGTTACTGATCAGAACAGGGGACTAGGAAAGCAGTGGGATCTGGTGGGGTCCCCATCACATCATCAAACCTGGTATTAATTGGCTCACCCATGGCACAGAGGTCAGCAGCTCTCAGAACTAACCCTCCTGCAGCCCTGGGGGCATCTGTGTGGTCACACAGGGTAAGCTAGCCCTGTACTGTACCTATGAAGTGGGCAAACAGAAGGCTTCTGTCTCGGAGGCTTTCAGTTGCCACGCTTCAGCAGCATTCATCTTACTCTAAAAAGAGAACAGTGCTGGGAATGGTGCAGTGGTTTCACAGGTAACCTGAAGTGTTGCGACGCATATGCAGGTTCACAAGAGACGCAGGGACTGCTGCTCCCTTGGCAATCTGAGGCTTTTGGCACCGGGGCAGCACGCCAGCAGGCCTGCAGCACAGGGCTAAGCGTGCAGTGCCACAGGAAGGTCTCCTAGCACCACGTGGGACTGCACTACAAGCTGAGATTTGCCAACAAGAGCTCAGGAAACCAAAGGCTCGTCACAGCAGAGCAGTACAAAAAGATTGCGGAGGACAATGAAACCTGAAGGCAGACGGAAGGGGGAACGCCTCAGCAAGATGGGGGGACACAGAAGCTCTACCTTCCATGAGTGAACACCTACCTACTGCTAAGCAATAAATGGGCAGAACTGATCCAGTGGCACTGAGTAAAGCCCACAGGCCACTGGGGACTAAGTGTGGCTGCAGAGAAGCGCTTTCATTTACTGATCTTTGTGCTACCACTTAGCAAATACTTCCTTAAAGAAAACAAAAATGAAGCAAAGAGAAGGACTCTGGTAATGAATCTAATTTGAAAATGAAGTGAACCTGAAAGCAACTATGCTAAAAATAAATCATGTTATTTGAATGTAGATGAGAATCCCTCCATCGTTTCTTTTCTGATAAGGAAAATTATCCTACGAGGACAACGCCTGCATATTCAGTCAAGATTTGCCATTTGGAATGTGCTTCCAGTTCGGAAAAACTGACTTTCCCGAGAAGTGGCCAAGTGCTGCAGACACACATACACACAGAGAACCACGCAAACAAGGAAGGGAGGAGATAAAGCAAAGGTGGGCTGCCTTACCGGCGAGCGGGTCTGAGGCTGAGTGTTCATTGTTTGAGGGGCTTGAGGGTACACCAGCGTGGTTGGAGCTGCATTCTGTCCTGAGGGGTAAGGAGCCTGCCAGGGAACAAGAAAGTAAACACAACATGAGTGTACTCACGGATTTGTGCCAGAAGGTGGAAAACTGAATGCATCATCACAGACTGTTGGTTACCATCAAGATAAAAGACAACACACAAACAGATTGGGCGATTATGAAGGCAAAAGCCTCCTCTGTCGAGGATCCAACCAAGTTGAAGTCCAGAAGTGCCCCCATGGAAAACATAGTGACAAGCACACACCAGTGCCACTCTCATCACAACTCTGCGGTCTGGTCCCTCCAGCCACAGTTTCCAGCCATGCAGCTCCCAGAAGGCTGCTCAGAACCTGTTCCCAGGGAGAGCTGGAGCCGTAGGCATTGCTGCCAAATCCTCCACAATCCACAAGAAGTAAGCTCAAATGCATTTACTAGAAACCACTGCTGCTATAAAGCATTTGCAACACAATGAAACCTCCCGAAATTGTTACAGCTGTAAGACAGACCATTGGCTATGTAAATTTTCACAGTTCCACTGACTTCAATGGGCTATAACAATGTGTACTACCAGATGCTCTTCCCCCATGCTATTTGCCCAAGTAACAATGAACCACAGCTTTAGAGCTATACCAATCACCATTCTAACAAGACATTCCTCCTTTCTGAGGATGCTTTCTTGGGGTACTCGCCCTTAAAAAAATAGCAACTACAATTACAGCTTACCTTTTCTTTAAATAATAATGTCATAAAGAAAAAAGAAACTCATGCAACAGCAGTTCCACAGCAATCAAGACAGGATTTGCAGCACGGTTGGTGATCCAGCGTAAAGCCTGGAGCTCAGTTTCAGGCAAGCAGCGCAAGCAGTGGCTTAGGAACAGCAACAAAGCCCTGAAACGCAGTGCTCTACAAACCTTCTGTGCCTGAGACAGCAAACCATGCCAAGGGTAAGCAGGCCTGCCCTGGCCTTCAAGGGAGGATCAGCCAGCCCTTACAAAGTGTAACAGGAGTTCTACCGATGGTGGGTTGTGGATAACGTGGAGAACACATACTGCTCACCCCCCAGACTCAAGGTGCATCACGTTGCCAGGCCCCACGCTGCCCCACTTGGCCAAACTGATCATCACTGAGCAGAACCCAAGTACAAGCACACAGGTGCTGAAGGGCAGTGTTCTCACTGCACAAGCTAACTAAGAAGGACACTCTGTTATTTTCCACCTGATTTTCACATTGCTTTTTGGGTCAGGGAGATAATAAATATCCCTGTCTCCAAATATATCATCAGATCTTTGCTGTGAATGTAGAATAATGAGTAGAACATTTAGCTGAAAACTGTTATTCTGCAGCAGCTCATACCAACACAACAGAAAAGACTGGGCCAAGAGCCATGAAATGCTTTCATCAGCTCCTGATCTAGAAGCAGCAACCTCTGCCCTCCTCCTGGGGAGCTCACTTAGTCCAATCCTCTCAAACCAATGTTTCCTTCCTTTCTTACCACTGGCAAAGCCTCTAATTCACAATAACAAGTCATTTGCCTTCTAGTTTTTGAGATGTCAGATGCAGCATCAAATATTTTCCCCTTTTATTTGACAAGTGTGATTTTGTTTGAGCTGTTCATGTCATGCTGAGTAATAAACACTATCTCACATATCTCACAGCAGTAACGGTGCTGCAGTGGGGGCTCTCAGTCAATCAAACAATCAAGCCCTAACGAGACGCAGAGGAAATGGTATCTTTCTGTCCACCATCTAGTGAGGTCCTGCCTCCACGTTACCTTGCTCCTGACTTTCTGCCCATCGTGACATTAAGGCTTCCTCTCCCCCAGGAGGACCAACAGCTCTGTGTCCATCTGGGTGCTCCTCTCACATCCTACACGATGGAGTCTCCCATGCCTGCCCTGTGTCTCAAGAGAAGAGGCCTTACCCCAGACTGCTCCAACCGCTCCTCCTCCCCGCGAAAAGGGGGAAATATCAGGTTTTCCTCCCCTTCTTCAGGCCCAGGAAAACATGCTTTCTTCAGGCTTAAATAGCACGCAACAGAAAAAAGCCCAGGTTAGATACAATTTCCACGCTACCACCGACCCACCTCCAAACAAGGATCCCTAAGAAAGGGAAGAGCAGCTAACACTGAGCCTAACAACTCAACATTTAGCAGCACGACTGCAAAGCAGGCATTCTGAAACACAGTGCCACACTCAAATACAGCCATCTCACTGATAACAGATGTCATTTCTGACACTTGCAAGGCTGAGAGGCAAACGCAAGATGCTGCAGCACGGTATCCAATTTGTTTAAGCATTTAAACCCTATCAGAGTCAGTATAGCATTAAGTTATTAAAAAATAATCACACAAAAGCTCAAACAGCAGCCACTGATGGGCCCCTCCTGCTATTAAGCTGTCATCAAAACAAGGTAATGCTTTGGGCAGCCGCCACCAGTCCCAACCACGACGGCCGACAGCTGAAGCACATCTACACCACAGCACGGGCAGCAGACAGGAGGAGCTCAGAGCCACCACGCAGCAGGCAAAATCTGACTTAGCTGCCATCGCCAAAAGGCAAGGGGAACACTCAGAACCAGAGTGCTGCAACAGAGAGCGATGGGCTCTGCAGGAGGGACAGGCACTGAAGGAGGCGGTGGGGAACCCCGTACGTGAGGGACTGTTTTGATGTTGCAGAGCTCAAGGCTGGGAATGTCACGTCCCTGTGGGTAAGGGTGGGGGCAGACCAGCAAGGCAGACATCCCATTGGGAGCCTGTGACAGAAGAGCTGACCAGGTGAGGAGGCAGAGGAAGCGTTCCATGAGCTTCTGCTGAGACTCTAGGAAAGAGAGCTGACCACCTTTGGAAGGATGAGCAGGCAGCTTGAGAAGAGTACAAGGACTCCGCTAGGATAGGCAGAGAGAAAATTAAAAAGGTGAAAGCCCAGCAAAAACTTAATCTAGTCACTATTATTAAAGACAACACAAGATGCTTTTACAAATAAATCAACAGCAAGAGGAGAGCCAAAGAGGATCTCCAGCCTTTATTGGATGCAGTTGGGATCATTATCACTGAGGATGAGGCTGAGGTTCTTAAAGCCTTCTTTACTTCTGTCCTTAATAATCAGATCAGCGATCTTCAGAGCACTCAGCACCCCGACCTAGAGGGACGGAGAGCAGAATAAGCCCCCAAATTCAGGAGGAGACAGATCTGCTGCTCCACCTGGACTGCCGTAACTCCACGGAGCTGATGGGATCCACCCAGGGGGCTGAGGGAATGAGCAGAGGTGACAGCTAAGCTGCTTTCCATCATTTATCAGCAGTCCTGGACAGCAGGGTAGATCCCACATGCCTGGAGACTGCTAATCTGATGTTCAACTGCAAGGGCTGGAAGAAGGATCGGGGGAGCTGCAGGCCCAGCAGTATGACATGAACTGCAGGAGGTCACAGAGCAGATAGTCCTTAGGAGCTCACATGGCAGCTGTGGAGCACCCAGGGGATCAGACCCAGTCAACACACGTTCACGAAAGGCAGCTCCTGCCTGACCAACCTCATCTCCTCTGCGAGCAGGTAATCATCTCCGAGTCACAGGGAAAAGCTACACTCCACCTAGAGTTCAGCAAAGCTCCCGACTGCCTCCCACAGCACTGTGCTGGGGAAGCTGCAGCCCATGGCTGGGACAGGTGCATTCCTTGCTGGGGCTGAGGGCACTGGGAGTGGTGGTGAACGGAGTCACATCCAGCTGGTCACAGAGATGCTCCCCAGGGGTTGGCGCTGGGGCACAACCTGTCTGATACCTTCACTGATGAGCTGGATGAGAGCACTGAGTGCACCCACACTAAGTTTGCAGATGACACTCAGCTGGGAGGAGATGTCCATATGCCTGGGGTGGGGAAGGCCCTACAGAGGGACCTGAATTAACAAACATCATCTAAACAAACATGTTGTTGTGTAAGAGCTGTGAAACGTGCTTCTGTCTTGCATGCTTCAAGCTAGATGGAGGTGTGCCGTAGCTAGTATTTGTGTTAAACAGCATAATGGGAAAAGAGACAAAAAACGTGCTTTGTAGATAACTGCAGTACATAGCAGACTAAAATACTACCAAAACAAGCATCAGAATAAATCACAGCAATCCGCTGCCCTGCAGACAAGTAGGCTGATTAAAAGTATTGCACATATTCATCTGTCAAAAGGACTTTTCCTATGCCAAGCATTTAAATAGGTACACAAGGTAATTATAATCATATTCTGCCATGCTGGAAATGTGTGGCTTTTAAGCACCATGGCTGGAACAGTGAGCACGAGTGAACAACGGAAGAGATGCTCCAAAAAGTCCCTAAATAAACTACCACAGAAGGGAAGCCTGGGAAACAAGTTTTGCTCCGCGCATAAATCCTGGTTCAGAAGCATCTAAATGCTGGCACTGAGATCCCTGAAGTGCAGCACCCTGAGCTGGAGCAGAGCTGCTCCACTTCCAAGGCACAGCAATTGGCTCTCCTGAGGCCTTCATCCTCACGGCTGTGTTTGAAATGTCGCTATCCATGGAGGGAAAGGCGATCATATTTGTGTTTATGTATTCCAGCAGCTTGCTGGGGAAAACCCTTCCCATCTTTTTTGTGCAGAGCTCCGGCTTCAGGCTGCCGACTGCGCAAAGCAGAAAAGTAAAAATAAAACAAGAAATCGTCGCTACCAACAAAACAAATGAAGAAAGTTATTCTTAGATCAGCTCCCAAGCTGGTTAGTAAACACTGTGCCTGCTGCGTAACATGATGCCCTCAGCACTGACAGCACTGACAGCACTGGGAATAAACAGGCAAAGTGCACACATCAGGTTCAGAAAGAGCTGAGTCACGCAGCTCTCCACCTCCCGCAGCCAGCGACGATTTTTCTTGTTGGAACAGAACTCTCCCATCTCCAGGCAGAAAGGCACTGCCCTGAGCTCCCCACCTTCAGCAGCCCGGTGAGACGTGGTTCAGCTCTGTCATCGCTCCCTGCACTGTCTCCTGACTCGTGGAAGCAGTTTGGATGGCTCTATATTTACTGAAGTGATGTAGCTGGAGGTGAAA